CTGCAGTATCCCCAAATGATTGGAGGAGCGGTGATAGCGATGACACGTGATGACCAATCCATCTGTACTTCCAACTCGAAAGGACGTCAAACTGCGACCCATACCCCCTACCCCCATGCCCAAGTTCTTGTGCACTTCTTCTCTTTGAAAGACGACACTTCCGGTTTTTTTAAGCGGAAATCCCACTGTTGGTACTCAATAATATCATTGGAACTTAGAAGGAAATCCCACCATGACATCCGCAACAAAAGGCTTGGAAATGCGACTGATGAAATATGGTGCCAGATAACACATGATCAAACATGCTACTAAACCCCCAAGATTAAATACCTCCCTATATGGACCCCATCATGAAGAGATCCAATACTACACTAGGGATTCTAAGGTGGGATTAATATCAGGAAGGGATTAATGTCCATGTATCATATCAGTACCCATGATACACCAAAATGACTGATGCGACGACCAGTTTCTTCCGGCCTCTGCTTGACCCTCGGTACAGCGCTGGCAGAGACGAAACAAGGCCGCGCAGCTCAGATAGGCCTGGAGCAGCGAAGCGAGGCCCTATTCCATGATATTTCCATGTAAAACCAGGTTTACTATATATATAATGTGGTTAAAACATGTTAAAACAATCAACCACCCATGACTGGGAATGGTTTGGCTTACCACCTATAAACGTGGTAATGACTGGGGGATGGTTTATTTATGGCATTGTTTTACCCACATGACTAGGAAATTCCTCCACCATTCCTCCACCACCAAGATTTACATCCCGGCCTCAGTGCTGTCTCTGGACCTTACAAGGCCAGGCGCCAGGTAACTAGGTGGGGATGGTGTCCAGAGGGAATCTCCAGGTACTGATTCAGCATCTGCCATGCTTTCGGAGGAATGGTCAGGTAGGGCCTGGGGTAACAAAATAGGGTGGAATACTTGGAGCCCCAAAGACCTGGCTCATGCTGGAACCTTCAGCAGAAAGTGACACATCATTCACCAGAACCCCTGAGAGGACAGGACACTTTGGGATACGATTCCTATCACAAACACGGCTTTGGCCCAGAATGAGGGACTCAAGATGACAACTACGAGAAAAAGTGGTGATTGGGGTGCCGTCAGAAAGAAAAAAAAATGGAGCGGCCTCCAAACTGATTTGAGCTCAGAAAAAAGCAGACCCTGGGGATCAAAAAGTTTAGGTACTTTGGGATCTAAAAATATTCCAAAACCATCCCATGTTGATCCGTTTTGCCAAGATTGGAAGCCAATGACCTGACCCCTTCCCATGACCGCATCCAATCCAAGCAGCTGCAGGCAAGGCCTGGCACTTGAGGTGCTCAGATGGATTGCAAGTGGCAACAAGTGGCAGGAAAGTGAGGAGAAACTGATATTGATGGGGATACAATGATTCAGAAACTACAGAAATATGTCTATGCCGGTCTATGCCTTATACACATGTATACATACTTCAACGTGTATATAGTTCCTAGCATGTTGGGAAACTCTGCTTGTAGCTCTATGGCTCCCCGTGGTAGGGAATTTGGACACCCGATAGCTCCGAACCGCTCCTGACTGCAACATCACAAGATCCAACAATGGGTGCAGGTCATCTACCACATTGGAGAGAAACCCCAATATGGTTTCACTTGAAACCCGAACCTCTCAAACCCACACCTATCTACCTATCTGTTCTCTAGTACACTAGCTATAGGTCCCATCCCGGCAACTCCAATCGTCCCCAAGCACTGAAGATCTCACCAGCCAGAGCCCGCCTCAATGCGTCAAAGACCTGCAGAGGTCAAGTTGCTCAGAATATGTTGGTGGAAACAGCACGAAAAACCGCTGATGATTTTGTTACCTGTGTTTTCTACAAAAGAATGGTGCATGAAGGACTTGCTTGCTGAAAACTGTTGCAAAATCCTCAAAGATGGTGTGTCAATGAACATGGCCCACAGTTTCGAACGGACCACTGATGAGGTCACCCTTGAATTGAAAGATACCTTGTTGGGATGAAAGAATGTTGATCCCTTTCCACACTTGTGGAAACCAAATAGTATGTTTCAGAACTTGAAGGTTCAACCAATACTTATCATACACTTATGGTAACCTTATGGTTGTTTGGTTCAACCAATGGTTGGTTGGGTGGCAGTGCCACAAAGAACAGCACCCGCCATTTTTGTTTGTTAAAAACTACCGTTATATATGTATATATCTGTATATATTGGGTATGGGGTGTGGTCAAACTTGCGCACGTAAAGAAAATATGTGGATAGGATGGTTTTGTAACATAGACCCACAAAACTGCCCCTCCTAAGAGGAACGTAGTTTTCCAACCCCCATTCAAAAAGCAGGGTCTATCTTAGCTGGGTGTGGAACATGGATAAACCTGGAGGGTTTAGATTATAGCCACAAAACAAACGGGAGTTGGGATTGAACCATCAAATACTTACTGGTGCTTATGTAGTAGGGAATGAGTGAATGATCCACAATAACTATCAACAATACTCCCAGCAACCCCCAGCAACCCATCCATTCTACTAAGCACAGTAAGAATATGAGGATTCTGACACAAAAAACTGGAGACCACCATGGCAGCCTTCTGCAGGAGCTGCCACAGCGATTTGAAGGACCTCAGTGTTCGTCGCGAGTCGTGGATAGGTGGATGGTAAGTGTACATTGTACGTGGATGCAGCATGCTTTTTGAGCATATCTGTGATGTATACGTATGTAATGTATGTATTACATACCACCCTATCATCTTTCACTATCATCACTATTCATCTATCTATCTACCTACTTACCTACCCATCCATCCATCCAGCCAGAAACCTCCCCGTGCTTTCCCGGGCTCCCAAACGTCTTTCCCGGGCCCTTGACCTGGACCAGGTCAGCGAGTTGTCGCAGGTAAACAACGGAGATGATGGACGTTTAATGGCAATATATTGAGGATATCATATACATTGTATAGAGTATAGATCAATGATATATTCTTTTGATGTTTTAGGATTTAAGAATGTAATATCATATTCAATGATGTTTGCGGATATATATAATAGCGCAATGGATGAATAATTAATTGGAATATAATTTGTAATCATATACAATGAGGTCCTGTTTTTTGTTGATTGAATAGAGAATTGTTATAAAGGGGTCTTTGGGTGTCATCTTTAGGATAGGCATTGGGGTATAGGGAATGGACTCTACCCACCGTCAAGATAAGTCAAAACCTAATAGGGAAGATGACGCTTAACCAGTGGAATTTGGGGTAACCAGTTTTCATGTGGTAAATGATCATGATTGCTTTTGCATGTTTTTGCTAGATACAACTGGGAACAAAAACAATTACATGGATCGTCTTTAACTGGGACGCACACGGAAGTAAAGCTCAATTTCACATTCCACATATCAGTTCTTTCCAGCCTTCGGGGGATAGTTCACCCTGCTCTAGCCCTTTAAAGACTACAAAATCCCCGCCAAGACTCTCGAAATTTCTTTGCGACATCTTATTTCACTTCTGAAAATGCCATGTTTTTATTACGATTTCCGGAGTGTCCACAGTGTCCACCCGGCATTTCTCGGAAACCCAAAGAAGGCTTCACCATCGTCCAGCAGGTTTCACCTCCGCGTTGAAGCTTCGGAGTGTTGTCTCATCACCCAAAGATGCTAGGTCCTTGCTGGCGCTGTGGGGAGGTTTTCTTGTTCAAATACCATTGGCAAAGGGGGGGTACCATCCAATGACCTTCATGTGGAGTGAAACCATCCATTTGGTTGTTTTCAAGATGAATACGCGAGCATATGAATACAAGGTTTGCGTTTTGACTGCCGAAAGTTGACAGTTAAGTGCCGTAATATGGGATAGCAAGGTTCAGTTTCAAAATTAGATGGAGGTTCGAGTGGGAATGACTAGTCAACCCGTGGCCCTGAAACCTTGCCCTATGATTGATGCCCAATTTTAATCGTTCAAAAGCTAAAGGACGCAGCCACTCAACCCAAATATAACCTGCAAATCATGGAGGAGAACAAGCAATCATGTAGTGACTAACTCAGCCAACAATATCCAACAATAATGAACAGAGCGGCGCCGTTTTCAGACTTTGAAAACGCTTAAAAAAAAAACATCAGTGGATGATAATACTGTCAATAATTCGTCTAGAGTCTATAATGACTTACGGTATACTTGTTTTCGCGGCTCATTCCGTGGCGCGGTTGGGTAGTCACGAGGCGCCAAGGAACATCCATCAGGGCGAGGCAAACGAAAAAGAGCCGCGACTCGTCAGGGGTGGGATCGCCACCGGCCTGGCGATACTCGTTGAGGCACTGCGCTCTGGCTGCCACCGGCCGTACGTTGGTCGCACGAACATGTCGCCGTGCATAGTACCGTTGGATGGGTATTTACTATGATACATATCACATAAATTTACCATATATCATATCATATATATTCATATATATATAATATATGTCATATATCATATGTCATATGTCATATATGATATCATATCATATATCTACGGATGCAATCTTGTATTTATTCCAGGGTATGATCTGCAAACGTGTTCCAAGTTCATATAAGCGCCGCATAGACCTGAGGCCTCACATTCTATGTCATCTTTTTCATATGTTATTCTGTGTTATACTGGTACAAGTATGTGGTAACAATCAAGCCTTGCCCAGCCTTTAGAACAGACCGCAACCAGAGAGCAGGCGCTCTAAAGATGACGCATTTTTTCAGGTTTGTTGGCTGGTTGAGCATCCATTCCCAAGATACATGATCTGTCAAGCAACCCATGTATTCTCCATTCTGTGGGGGTGGAAAGGTTGAAATAATCAGCACGGACGCCAGGGATAATCCACCTGTTCTGCATCGAAATGTCATTGCTTGAGCTTAGAGACTCTCAAACCCATCGTTCAAACAGGTTGGAAAATATGAGCGTGTCACCAAACCAGAATCCTCAGGATTTTCTTTGACATCCTTTGACTATTCTTGACTCCCTGCATGCATTTTTCGCGCTAGCCATCTTGCAAATGTAGCGCTGCTTTTTTGCACAGTGCACAGTCGTGCCGTCTCTTTTGGTGCTTGCATATGTATTTGCTCCCGCAATCCTTGCAATAGCGACGTTCCCGCTTGTGTTTCTGCAGAAGTTGAGCCTGTCAAATCGATCAATCCTTCCAGGAAAGATGCCGGAATCCAGGGACTCATTTTCCCGGTGATTTTTCTGCAAGCATAATGTCCTTTGAAAGGAACCAGAACACTGACTTGCGAGGGTGCCCCGGATGTCGGAAAAACCAGCTGCTTGATATGGTCGCTGGACATGAGCTGCATTGCAACTGAATCACCTTCTTTCCTTCAAACACTGTAGGTAGGCCTTTGATCTTCTTGTTTGGCTGATATGAGCCCTCCGACACTCGACCGCGCTCTGCAAAAGTTCGACCCTCTTGGCGGTTGGCCCTGGGTGGCTCCACGTCATCCTGCTGTATCTTCAGCGCATCCAAGCCGTTCACCAGCGAGCGAAGCTGATGCCATTGCCGGGTGGCCGGAGTGGCTGGATAAGCAGTGAGATCAACCCCACCAACCACCGCCTGGATAAATGTCAGCGCGCTCTCCAGGCACTTCCGGGTGTTTTCATCCTCCAAATCGATGTTTTGCAGGGCCCTGATCAGCACACGGCGAATGCGACTCTGCAACCGGTGGGAGACCTCCTCCCTCGGGATCTCCTGCGGGACCGAAGATGGGTCCGGCACCTCAGCGGCTCGCGCCACCGGCCGATGTAGCCAGGCAGCCACCCTTCGAACCAAGCGGCACAGCCCATCGCCATCCAAGTCATCCTCCAGCAGTCGATGCAGGTCCGCTTCAGCTTGGGCTATCCGGTCCAGTTGCTCCTCCAGGGTGGCATTGTGGAACCGCCCAATCTCTCGCTGAAGCCGTTTGGATGGCCCGAAACCACCCGCCTTGGGGGACGTCGACGAATTCGCACGGCCCGTCCTTTCCACGACCACGTCAGCTGACGCCGGCGTGCAGCCGGTCCTTTCCACACCCCCAGCGCTTGCGGCTGCCGCAATTTTGACATCAACAGCAGCTCCGTCAACAATGCAGAAGGTGACTGCTTGGCCGACTTTCAAGTATGGCGCAGTGCGGAAAATGATGTTGGCCAACTTCCCATTCTCTAACTGATATGTCACGGCACCGCCCCCATGATAGTGAAGCTGGCACACATGGCCCAACATGGCAAGTCTCTTTGAAGATGACAGCTGGAGCCAGATGCTCTGAGCCAAAGTAAGAACAGTTGAAGAATTGCCAACCTTCTCACACCACTGGTAGGTCATGCCAGACACCCCCCAGCAGACCAACCAATTTGAAAAAGAAAATCATCAAACCCGTTGTTGTTTGGCTAGTCAACGTTCTTTCTGGGTGTATGATGATCCATAAAAGCTGGCAATGACAGTTCTGTATTTAGGACCATCCCCGAAATGGGGTATACCATTAATCATTTTGTTTCTATACCCATTTGGAGGGATATTACTTCACTCGGTATCAAACAAATACAACATATCCTCCATATGATATTGCACTGAATGGTATATAAATGTCCTATCATATAAAGTTGCGAATAACTGAATCTAAGTAGCTCCAATTGGCTCCCCATTTATATATTTATATATCATAGGGAATTTATGAATAGCTTCACCGCTCCCTTCACCGCTCCCTTCACCGCTCCCTTCACCGCTCTCTCCCTTCACCCTGCCGGAGGCCTTCACTAAGTATGCCAAGGTGGTCGCGAGCTTCGAGACGCATTGAGGCCTTGGGCCAGTGATGGCTGCCATCCGTGCCCGAAGTCAGAGCTGGTTAATTGATGGATGTAACGATTCCCCCATATGGTAAATTCATAGGTAACTTGACCCATATCCATACCATACCATCCCATAGCCATATAATTAGGTGATGTTAGATGGGGTTATATATGGTTATAGGTTATACCATCTATCTATATGGGTATGGGATGGTATAGGATGGTATAATAGATGTTATATCTTATGGGTTATATAACTATGTTAGATATAACATGATATAACTGATATAACCCATACCATCTATCTATAGGTTATAGGGTTACATACATAGATCCATGTCGCATTACCGCTGAGCATCCAGGCAACAGCTCCGGCGTATCCAGCAGCAGCCCCGGTTGCGACACCAACGAGGCACGGAGCAGGTCGCAGCAGGCCTGACATCCGCCGTGGTTCACGTGGAAAAATGGGGGATTTAAGCAGCTAAAACTGGGGAATACTTGAAAAAAAAGGGAAAAAAGGGGTGGTTTCAGGGTCTCAAGTGAAGGATTTAACAAAAATGGAGGATGTAACGAATGATTTAGATGGATTTTGTGGATCAATAGGTTGGCTTTAGTGGGAAGAGCACAAGAAACTGGCTGTTTTTTTCCAATTAACGATACGGGCTTCCTGGAACGCTTCCTGTGAATCTTCCCTTCAAGCGATTCCGGGACCAAGAAGAATTGTTGTGCCAAAGTTCCAGACGACCCACTCAATTTTGAGAAGTGGCAAGTGGTTTTGATATGTTTTGATGCACGTTGTAAACAAAATGGACCATTTTCGGGCACTGGAAAGTTTGCTTTGAAGGACCCTTTGTTTCATCCTCTATTTCAAGACCATCCACTTTTTGAAGTAGTTGAACTCAAGTGAATCGTAGACTTTCCCACATGAAAAACGCCTGGATGGAACACCCACATTTCCCACACTGGAACGCTCGCCGAAAATTTGTTCGATGTCACCAGGATACACTGCGAAAGTCAAAGTCCTGCCCCGGATCACCAATCACCTGCAGTGGCATTCCGAGGATAAGGAGGGTATTTAGTGGGTATCCATGGTATCCATTCCACCATTTAGATCCATTAAGTGGGTTTTAAAGTTTAATGGTTGATAGTGGTGATGATTAAATGTTGATACAGCCTCTATTAAACTAAGAGTTTGTGAACAGGAAAATCACCGCTAAATCAACAAACTGAATGGCCATGTTCAATAGCTATGTTAAATTAGGATATGTGAGGTATGGGATAACATCTTGGTTTTGCCTAGATACACTCTGGCAAAGATTGAACATCCCAAAAAAAATGAACAGGATGCAAAGTGTTGGGATGGGACTAACACCCAAACGCCCAAGTTCAAAAAAACCTTTGACTTTTACCATCTTTTACCCAGTTGTCAATGTGGAATGGCTGGTTTCACATGTTTCACAGCTCCAAAATATCGGCCGACCAAGGCCTCCTTGGCGCCCTGCCTCCAAGAGTCTCTGTGCCAAGTGTTTCACCAAACCACTTCTGGATGCGGCCTGAAGGGGGGATGGCTCAAGGATCTACCCAAAATGAAGAAAGAGCGTGTTCAAGGAATAACATTCAGCTGGTTGGTGGTTTTAACCATCTTGAAAAATATTAAACAGCCAGATATTCTTTCGCCCCAACATCACTCGGAAAATCCATCGCTTTTGACTCCACCCATCCGAGGATCCCAGCCTCGGAAGGGACCGACAAGGAGGCGAGCCTGCCACAGGACCGTCCCCAAAGACCGTCCCGCAGTGTCTGAGGGACGTAGTGAGTAGATCGATGCAGACAGCATAGGTCAGCAAATTAAATAGAAAATAAATAGAAATATCTATATAGATAGAAAATAGAAATGTCTATTAATTAAATAGAAATATCTACATATCATATACATATCATCTACATATCATGCATCTGTATAGAAAATACTTCATTTCAGGCCAGGAAGAAACGGCGGCTTTCGTGGATCTGGGCGGCCAGACAGCAGCCCTCGACCTGCCGAGGTTGCGGAAATCCGCCTCTGTTACGACCATTTAGCAACATTTGTTTGGCGTTATACCCTCTGGTAAACGTTTACATAACGATGGGAAGATCCACCATTTTTAATGGGAAAAGTCACTATTTCTATGGCCATTTTCAAGAGCGAACTGATAAATTACCAGAGGGTATATCCAAAATCCTAGAACAAGATAGAAAAAGTATACACAAAAGGATAGAACAGGTTTATTGACATGTTTGTTGCACATCATATCCAGGATGATAGAACAAGAATGTACTGGTGTATACAAATGTCTCGTATTGACCGTTGTTCATGTCAACACACGAGACTAGCAGCATGCACACTTCAAAGACTTCCAAATGATGGTTTCAGATTCACAAACTGAGCAGTTTGCGGTGGCCCACTTTGGCACCAACTTAAAACCATGTCAATGTGCCAAAGTTGGGTACCTTAAAAAAATGCATTGACCAGTCGATGAGCTGAGCTGCCGCTTTGCGGGTCTCACTCTCAGCTTTAAAGCCATGCTGATCTCGATCCATTTGTAATCATTGGTATGTGTCAAAATTGGGTGCCCAACAATGGGATGTTGCTATGGCTTTAAAATCTTAAAAACTGTATCCCAGAAAGTCTTGGAAATGCCTTGCGTATGACCATACAGACCACTATTGAAGGGGTGTGACCATCCCTTACACTAGGATAAAACCATGACCAAAATGGACCCCAACATATGGGATGCTAGTTCCCGAACATCTTGCAAGAGATCCAAAAATCAATGCAGAATTACAACTAGTCCCTGAATGCATATCTCAAAATATGCCCAACAATTCACTCAACATCGTGCCAGAATCACTTGAAAAACCCAAAATATCCCTCGATTTCTCCAACATCATCCCCAAAATCTCCAAAAAAACAACAACACAAATGGAATATCATGGAAATTCTCAAAATACCAGCTGGTAAATTAACATAGACCCTGGCAGTCATCGGGGTTGGAAGATGAGTTTCCATTAAAACTAGGCTATTTTCAGGGTCGAACTGTTAATTTACCAGAGGGTAATCTCCATTAAACACCATTAAACACCATTAAACACCAGAGGGTATCATGGAAATTCTCAAAATATCCCTCAATCCCTTCACCGATGTTCACCTCCAGCACTGGCTGCGGGCTGCTGGTGCGGCATCTCGGTTCGACACCACAGCGCCAAGAGACTCACCAGACATTCGGTGGCCCACTGCGCCACGGGACTTGCAGCGGTACCTGGTAGAACTCTGGAGATTTCATGGAGATTTCATGGAGATTTCATGGTGATTTAATGGGTATTTCATGGAGGTTTAATGGTGATTTAATGGGAATTTAATGTAGGTTTAATGGAGGTCTAATGGGGATTTAATGGGAACTCAATGGGGCCAACCATGGTTGATGTGAACACTTAAAGCATGGAAATTTCACTAGAATAAACATCCATTAAGAGAGAAGGTGGCTCCTGGTAGCCTTGTTGGACTCTTTTATGATTACCGTCATTGTCTCATATCAGTAATACTTTTGCATGGAGTAGTAGTACCATCCTCCAAATCAACCATCAGCCCTGTCTCCAGATGTCTTCCATCAAAGAACCTTCGCAGACGCTGCTCCCTCTGACCGGAGCTCGAACCATGCTGGTCGTACGCTCCGAATCGCGCGGATGTCCCTCCTCCTTCCATGTCGCGAGGGACTTGAAGTTGGAGTTGCGGTTCATCTGATCATAAGGCTGTCTTTGATGAACCGATTCTTCCACCACAACCTCATCTGAGATGTAGTGAAATCGCCCTGGATCTGCCTTATCTGCTAGGAGAAGAGGTGGGCATGGAGGGGGGTAGAAGATGCTTGGGGGATCACTGTCCTCGGGGGCTCCCATTTTATCCAACTATATCAAGGTAAATGACAATAATTCGCTGACCTGAAATCAGGTTTGTTTTGGGATAGTTACCCCTACATTCACCATCATTCCAGGCTTCGGTCGCGAGGTTGTTATAATTTACCCAGACTATATCATATCATCCCACTGTATATATATATATATATGTGTGTGTGTAGATAATATGTGTATAATATATATATATATATCATATTATATCATATCATATAATTATATTATGTATATATACACCCCATATGCACTTGCCCATGTCCATGCTTTTATACCTAGCTTTGCTGCTCAAATCCCCATGGGCACAACAAATGTGCGCGTAGAGAGATTGCACCAAGTCCGCCCGGCGGAGGGCGCCCTGCGCCTGTCCAGGGGCCAACCAGTGCTGGGGCAATGCTCGGTGGTGAGAGGTGTTTCAGCGTTGAAAGGCACAAATAATGGGAGAACCATAGCCTATGTCAGGGGGGGGCCCTCCCACAGTCTGGGGGACACATCCAATGGTCGTCCGACTTTGGGTAACATTCCCAAGTTGCTGATCTCTCCACAAATTCGTGCCGCTTTCGCCAGCCTCCTGCTGCTATCCCCAAACTTTTCTTTGGTCACACCAGTCATATCCATATCTTCCATTTTTGGTAGCAAGGTAATGCAGGGTCATCTGTTTGATACTGTATGGATGAGAACATCCATATCTTCCATCTCTTTTGGAGCTGTTGACACCTCCCACAATATGGGTTTGTCTGATGGATTATCATCCGTTTCCCTATTCACCAAATAGCTATTTTGGGATATTTGGGGGGTGTCAATCTCCCATTTTCACTCACACACACACACATATCCAAATAGTTCTGGACAGTTCTGGTTGGAAATCCCAGCTGTCGCCTCCAGATTGGTCGCCACTGGACCCAGAGACCTGGAACCAGCTGAAGCAACCGGGGACCCACGACGAAACAACGACCATGTCGAGCCAAGCCGGAAAGCCCTGCCGAGAGTCATCCCGGAGATGGAAAGTGAAGAATGTTTGCTTCACGCTGATGTTTTGGGGCCCGAATCCCGATGAAACCGCCGTTTTACTTTTAAACACAGCCAGGGCAGAGGAGGATTGTCGTGAGGGCTCACAAAATGGCTGCAAATCCGGCAGAAGATAATCCCAGGGTTTCTTTTGGTTCAACGCAAAATGAAATCCCACAGGTTGGTGGTACATGAAAACCAAGGCTTTCCCGAATAGTTGTGGCCCAGGGATTTTTGACCACTTTGGGAGTCCTCAAACCACGAAACCCAACTCGGAGGTTTCGGAGCCTACGACCTACAACGGTGCGGTCGGATTCAGCTGCCAGGGTTTAAACCACTGAGTTTTCCCTCTTGTAGCCACTTGCAAGGACCATGATCATCATGATCCGTGGGAAACGGGTCAATACTCTTCCAGAGATTCGAATCTCCGTAAGGAGGGCCTCAGGACCTCACGATTTTCCATTGGTCTACCTGTGGTATCTACTTTGGGGCATGAAATTGTTGATGGAGACTATTGTTTCTTTTCAGCCTATTTTTTGTACCGAGAAAACCCAACAGCTCTGTTCTACATGCGGGGGTATGTGCACATGCAATCAGTATGTTCAATGTTTTCTTGGTTAGAGAGTGGTTGGCACAGAATCTTCAAAAATCTGAAAAAATACGAGGGGACAAGATGTCAACACTGGAGAAATTTTCATGTCTTTTCCTGGTTGACTTTATGGCCATTCAAAGAAACCATGGCAGATCTTTCCGACCAGTCTTTCATCGCCTCTTCCATCTGGAAGGGCGTTCAGATCTGCGGAAGGGGACGCTCTGGGATCTGAGCAGACCAGGGTGGTTTTTAAGGTCGAATGGCTATGAAACCAGTCTGGAAACCATTCAGAAGGCACTCGATTTGCTCGGATCTTCCAGTTGCGAGCGCCACCTCCAAGGGTTCGGAAACATCCTGGGGGAAACTGCGGTTCCTTTCCAGCCATGGCTGGTGTCTGTGAAAAAGAGATCAGCAGTCTCCGCCAAAATCAGATGTCTGTGGCATGATTGGACTTGAGATGATTGAACAGGTGATGATGAAACAGGCCAAACAAGGTCATGACCATTAGATGCGGTTAGGACATGAGTTTTTTAAGGGGCATCTCATGTTCATGTACTGGAGATCTAATGTGCATGTATGCCATGTGACCACGTCCACCAAATGTCGGCAAATCTGCAGAGGTGGAATGAAAATGAATGAAATGAGCCCAGTAAAAGTCGCTGGCCACAGACTCAAACGACCAAACAACACTGTCAAGAAAAAACTGGGTACGTCTCCAAGCCAGCCAAGATTTGCCATGTCCTTTCTGAAAGGAAAATTCGTCTCCGGCAACGTGCAATGACGATCCTCACTGCCATTTTGACATGATTCGTCCATTCTTCCAGTTAACATGTCTATAAACTATATATAGATGATGGTTATAGTTAACTATATATATATATGTATTAATATATATATATATACATATATATATATAAATATAACTATAACCAAGATTAGCTGCCAGGTTTCACTAGCAGAGGGCGACCTCGATGGCCATTTCAAGGGCCGCTTGGGCCCACCTCAAGTCCCGTGCAATGAATTTCAGCTCGCACCTTTCGGGGCACCGTTTTGCACCAGCCTGGGAGCAGGAAAGATCGGGCGAGGGGAGCTGCAATCAGAGTGGCTCAATTCCTCAGAATGACGTGCCAATCTGCAGGTTCCGATGGCAAAAACCATCAACAACAACATACATTGAATATCAATAATAGAAACCATAAGAACCAGCATGCTGACAGAACCAGTCCCAGCATCTCCCTTTCTTTGGGGGGGATGGTGCTTTGGCGAGACAACCTCTGTCAGTCCACTGCAAATCTTAGATTCAAGTCTTAGATACCCTATGATATGGCTACTGTATGGGTTAAAACCCTGGTACCCTTCTGTTTACACCAAAACATCCGATGTTCATCTTCCCAAATATTCTATAATAGTATAGGTTGGATCCAACCCCAAATGTTCAGCTAGTTTTACCCTCGGGTTGAACTCAGCTATGGACAGTTCTCCCTTTTCTTCCGTGATCTTCGATGATTTACCTACGAAAAATGATGATCTTCCAGTTCGCAAACTGTTAAATCACCAGAGGGTACCCTCTGGTAAACTAACATAACTATGGAAAATCACCATTTTTAATGGGAAAATCCACTATTTCTATGGCCATTTTCAATACCCATGTAACCAATCACCAGAGGCTAGTCACCCCGGTCCATCGGCCCTGATCCGAGCCTCGGTGGCGGGGCAGAAGGACTGCGTCGCAGCACGTGCAGCACGCCTTCCTGTGGGATGCAACCGACCGACGGTCAACTGCTGGAAAAATGCAGTTGAATCGTGCATGGTCAAAAGAAATGGACATGTAAAAATTATATTAGAACATATATTAGATTATAGTGTATATAATATTATATACATACACAGTACATATTACTACAATATAAATATATAATATGTATAATCTGCTGCTCCAAGCACGACAGTGGCTCCTGGGGCTGCTCCGGCTGAAGTAGCAGGGGCTGCACCACCTGGAGATCTCCCGATGGAAAAAGCTGGGAAAACGACCTCAGAAATCATCGGAAATAATCGAAACCACCAAAAAAACAACTGCCAGATCTGGTCGATTTTTCATCACTCTCCAACATCCTAAAGATGTTCTGGTTTTACCAAATGTTTCTGCCGGTAGCATCCCTTTTTCTTGCAGGTCCCCGCCGTGCTTTCGGGGCAAACTATATCCGAAAAACCAACGGGGCACTTCCTTCTTCTGTTGGCTGACTGTTGATTTTGTTGGCTAACAGAAACTGTTTAAGTTGGTCGCCAAAAACACCCGTGTTTGTTAAAACCCTCATTCAAAGCCCCGTTTATGTTGTCTGATTCAATCACCATCTTTTGCTATAGTCAAAACCCAGCAAAATACCGGAAATTCTGTGCATTCTCCTTCTAAAAACAAAAGACATGTTTCAGGAAAAACATGGAAAAACGACGGTTTTCCCAGGAAAAACTGTGTTTTCCCGCATAGAAACACCAGGTTTTGCTGGTCAAAATCAGCATTTTCTCCCCATCTTCGCACCTGTTTGGCCGCACCATCCTTCGCCTCGCGTCCCTTCGCCGTCGCCGACGCCGCGCGCCGCGGCGCCGCGGGACGGGCGGAGGAAGGCTGTCGCGCAGCGGCGCGGAAGGCAGCAGCGCCCTGGGAGAAATTGGAGTTCAACATGAAAATAAAACAGTACAAAACAGCGCAACATTATGGAAAATAGTGGAAATGTCAACTTGTAACTTGGTGATCCTGAAATTTGAGGAAATGTTGTAGGAGTTATGTTCAATGGCTGGGGAAATTCACCTGAAAAATGTCTGGAATTCTCCGGTCTTATTTTTGGGAAGATTCACGCGAAAAAGATCGTGCGATGTGTTTTTATGAGGTTATCACCTGAACAAAAATGTTTCTAGTGATGTCATAGTGAAGTGGTTTCCACTACATGCCCATTATATACCCCACTATATTCCCATGAATTGGTTCGTTTTATACCACCATGTGAAACCCTTCAAATTCCTACAGGTCTGCCATTTAATGTGGCAAACCCAATGACCATCCCAGAAACTATTCAGGGTTCTATCATAAATCATCCCAGGCACAGGTGTACACTATACCCAACGATAAACCAAAATTGTGGATGCTTTTCCTATAAATGTTCATTATAATCCCACAATTTTCCTATATCAATCCATATGATCCTATTAAATAGCCTACTATAACCAGGAGATTAGTATTAACCATTCAAATAAAGCCACTACCAAGCCATTAAATTCGATTCATAGATATTCATAGTACCATTGGCCATTGGGTTTACCAACTTCCCCAGATTGGTTGGCTCGTTCTCAGCAGCTTCCCAGGCCTTCAAGGCGGCCCGCAGCGGATTCTGCCGCACCGCCGGCGGCGCAAACTTCACGCGGCCGCGGCTGCCCGGAGCATCCGCGGCCGGCGCCGCCGGCGGCGGGTCGGGGCTGCGCGTGCGTGGAACGGGGTCCTGTGGGAAGCTCAAGGGGATGGAGATGGGTTGAGGATGATGGATGGATTTGTATTTGCAAACATCCTTCCCTTGCAGGATGTTTTCAGCGTACATAGTTGACATAATTGAATATATATATATATATATAATTATATATATATATATAATTATATATATATTATATGTATATTATACATCGCTTGTCTTTTAATCTTCAGGATCATTGATGACACAGCTATTCCCTTGATGGACGCTTCCCTTATACGGCTGGCTGTGATAGCTCAGTCGTCTCGATTCTGTTCTGGTTGGTTGGGATTCATTAAGCACTTTAGCACTTTAGCACTGGGTTATTGTATCTAGTGAAACCGCCATTTCGGGGATCAAATTCATACAGTGCAATTGCAACATATCCGGAAGTCATTGCTGTATTTGCAAGTCATCTCTTTCAAAAACTTAAGTGGATAGTTGGATAACTGTAAAGATTTATTGATTTTTTTTTTATACAATTGATCCTCATTTCTGGCCCCCGGTGATTGGATCATTGTGATTCATCCTGCACAGCTGAACTGAGCATCCCTCACCTTGCTGGCCATGCGCACACGTGGAGCCTCTGCCGTGCTGGGGCTTTTGGCACGGCTGGGAGGTCGTTGGACGCGCGCGGAGTAGATGGAGCGAGCAGAGTTCAGCCTGGCAGGGCTGTGCCAAAAAGGATCACCAAAATGGCTATTTGAATTACAAAATTGCTAAAAATCATGGGATTTTGGAGGGGTATAGCCTATTTTCAGACAAAGCCACGTTGAGCTTCGATCTGTCAGGTTCTAGATGGTGAGAAGAACGATCATGGTAGTGCTGATAGTGGTGACGCTGATGGTACTACGGTAGTGATCATAGTGGCAGGGCGAATGTGATGAAACTTCTCTCCCCTGTCAGTTTGCACCCATGGCATTGGGCTGTAGAGTCAGGGGTGAAGCAAGTTTTATTTGCCAAAACATGACGACTGGAATTGTTTGAGATAGTCGCACCAAGTTGAGTACTTGGATGTGCCTCCTACTTGATGTATGGTGTATAACCTGTATAACCATTGTTCACCCACATAAACGGGATAAGACCTCTCCCATTTACATGATATCTGTATATGTATAGATATTAATATATATATATATACACACATATTATATACATGGAGATAGAGATATATGTAAGATAGCTTTCTGTATCTTTCAACATCATTCTGTATCATTCCGTATGATACACTTACGAAGTGACATGCACATCACTTCACAAAAGCGCCGGCACTCCACCTGGGCATGACTTTCGCAGCGCGTGCGGATTTGGAACCATTGGAGGGTTGAATCTTCCTGGGCCACGGTTGATGGGGCTGCCATTGGATTCCTATGCGGGAAGCCCATGATCTGCAAGGACCTTCCTACCTCAATTGGAGCATCCCAATATGTCTCCCAACTTGGGCTCCAGGATTCCGTTCTCAGCGCGGATTGAAGTTGTACCCCCAATCAAACGTGTGGAACTGGCCTTTGGCCATCTCTTACACCCCTGAAATCCAACTTGGACCCTTTCTCCACCCCTTCCAATCGAACATTGAGTTTGAAAGATAATTTTCCTATGTTTTCCATAGCCATTTTGCAGGTTTCTCCAGATTTCAGCTGCCCAGCATCCCAAATTTCAAGGGTGGTGGAACCACCTTAGCGAGAGCACCCGCGGCGCCCGGAGCAGCCGCGTTGCGGGGTGTCCTGCTGCTTTTTCTGGTTGCTGGTTTCAACCGTCCCTTTGAAATTTCTGGGGATATGTGGAAAAAAACATCTGGGGGATATCTTAGTGGTTCCAAAATATTTATGGAATCCTCTCCTGTAAACTAAGAGTTTGATGTGCAAACCCAACCATGAAAGTAGATCATTTTCCGAACATGTTTCACCATTTGCTTTCCACATCGTTTTCTATGTTTACGCTAGAGTAATGGAAAGATCTGTCCCATTGGCTTTCCATTACCATTGCTTTTTCACACATCTAGATGTTGGATGATGTTGGTATTCGAGATCTATTACCATGGGTAAAACAATAATGAACCACCCGGGGATGGTTTATATACATGCTTATACCGCCTATTTCTATCTATATACCGCCTATTTCTATCTATGGTATCTATGGTGAATTGGTGGATGGTTTATGATTGTTTTACCCACATGAATCCCAACTGGTTGGTGGTATACCTACCCCTCTGAAAAATATGAAAGTCAGTTGGGATGATGACATTCCATATATGAAATGGAAAGTCATAAAAGTCATGTTCCAAACCACCAAGCAGCCAATAGCTGTCCACATCTGAGGATTTTTTCATCCGTCGATTCGGCTCCTGGTTTCCAGCGCGCCCGAGGATTTGCTCCGCTTCACCCGAAGATTTGCGGGCGGCACCACGCCTGGGCCGCCTTTTTTCATGCAAAAAAACCTGGAAAATGCATGGTCAATGGATGGGTAAGGCTTGAAAAGTAACCAATCATTTTCAGATTTCTTGGGTCTAATATGATCTAATTCTTGACCCACACGTGGATGTTAATCCTCTGCAGCAAAGGCTTTCAAGCTACCAAAACCTCCATATTTTCCAAATCTGCCACCTTCAAGTCGGGTGGTGCAACTGGCACCAGTCATCAATTCTGATCTGGTGATTGAGTCACACCGTGAAAAATGATGAACATCCGCGATCATTGCCAAGAGGTCTCAAAAGAGTTGTTTAAAAATATGGGTTGAAACACCAAGCAGTAAGAATCTTGACCAAGATCGAAAAGAATCCAAACCACCAAGCAACATATAGAAATAATCTTGAATCTTGACCCCTTCCCCATTTCCTCTGTGATATTCTCCCGTTCAGCGGTGACCATCAAAAATCCGCCTGGAAGTGCCTTGGGCGAGATGACCTGGATGTCACGGTGCTTCATATAGGGATCATGGGGACATTCCTCATGGGATGACGTTGCTGATTGTACTGATGAATTTGGGGATCGGACGATCGTGGCTTTGTTGATTTACTGTACTTTGTTCTTATGATTCTTATTTTATTTATGATCATTCATCATTCAGCCAGCAAAAACAGATGACAAACACACAAAAGTTAAGCCCTCAAACAAAAAGTAACAGATCATGAGGATGTGAAACTATGACCAACCCAATGCATGTTTATACAGTGATGACACGAGCGACTATACTGGGGGATGGTCCTTCCGTACAATGAGAATGGTCCCCTGATGCGCACAATAGATGATGGTGTTATGAACCAGCACTGCACCAGCGAGATGTTTCAGAAATTGTGAGATTCGCGAGGGTGGCAAACTTAAGGGATAGATTATGATACTATGGTACAAGAAATTGAGAAATTGATGAAAGTTCATCAACAGGAAGTGCGAATGATCCATGCACAACTAGCTAACTAGCCATGGCCCCTTTGGACATGGCGAAGCAGGTCCAAGAGGAAAAACCCCTGCCATGGAAGATTGAGTAGCCGCAAAATAAGCAATGACATTCATGAAGAATCCTGAAAAGCAAGTGGGACAAGTGGGATACTATAGGATACCATCTGGTTATTTAACATAGCCATGGAAAATCACCATCTTTGATAGGTCAACTATCTATAAATGGGCCATGTTCCATGGCTATGTTAAATAACCAAAAGGTAATATTGATTGTGATTTCCCCAGTAGACTTCCCAATATCCAAGATTCTGTGATTAACAACTTTCTCCAAATAAACTGGGAAATTAAACATGCGGGAAATATCTTGCCGCTTAAACCGTGATAATTACCCCACAGTGACGGCAGTACTGCTAAGAGGAGATTCCCCGCATTCGGCATCAAGTCAATGTGAAACCTCCAAAGCATCAACCTCTGGTTGCTCATCTCAGCTCTCCCTTGAATCCCCTGAAAATCCCCTGAAAATCCCCTGAAAATCCCCTTAAAATCCCTTGAAAATCCCCTTGAGATTCTTTAGCTGTTTCAAGTTACCGTTTCCCCTCCATGAAAAAAAAACCAACCGCACCTCGGCTTCCAGGACCTGGCGGTGGTCTTCTCGAGTACTCACCTGTGGCTCCACCAACTTCAGGGTGGGCTGCGACCTGGGCACTTCGTGAACCCCCGGGACCCGGTAAGAGAAACTGCCCGGTTTTTTGGGGGGAAAAGAAACTGGTGATACCGGGTTTATATGTGTTTATATGTGTTTATTGGGTTCATTCTGAAAAAGAAATACACATGTCAGTGCCCCTCAACCTTCAAAAACACCCTACCCAAAGCATCCCAAACCCTTGTTCATTGGGCAACCACTTCTCAATACAGCCCATGTCAGGCGCCAACAGTTTCCAAGTCACTGCATCAAATCCTCATCCAATGGCGCCTGATTGGCTGGTTCTGATCCCAAGTGGTGCCCGAGATTCGCTTCTGCTACACCCCGTGTTTCATGGGCCCAGCCAGTTGAAATGCCAAGATCGTCAGCTGCAAAACTCTGTCGACCCTGAAAGTCTGCGGTTGCCGTTTGAGTTGTGCCCAAGATCCAGGATTTGGCTTTGTTGATGAAGGGAAATGTGTCCAGCAAAAGTTGATAAGTGATGTTCCAGGAAGCCTGGATTTGTTTGATGGGTCCACTGGGTCCATAACCTTTCCCTTGACCTGGGTAATTTTGTGCATTTTCAGCAACTGGTGCTTCACCACATCCTCGTGGCAACGCCACGACGCGCTGCCTGCTTCCCACTCTTGCTGCGTCGGAGCCAATGCTGTGGGGAACCAACCGCATCCGATCGCTGCCTAGGCGACATCAAAAAGTCACCAACGCCTGGATCATCTACCATCTACATTTAGATACATTTAATATCAGTTCATGGATTTGCATATAATCCCTTCCCCCCCAAGAAAAAACTGTTGTGCAACTCCACAAACAAAGAACAAATCCAGTCGTATACCCCGCGGTTCTTTGTGGGGCGATTATTTATGTGAAATGTGGACTGGCTGTGAATTAGGCTTGGAACCAACAAGTTTGTGCATGAAAAGAATAGTTCATGCGGATTTGTCAAAGAAAAATATATCTTAAAGAAACAACATTTGAGGGTGCGACCTGGCAGACTAGGAGTAGGGTCAGGCAGCTTTCAGAAATCATTCTGGAGCCTATGGCAGTTGAGAGTTTTTTAGATTGACAACGGCTGCAGTGGGATGGAGTCTTGCTGATGTCGCATTGTATGCACAAACAACACCTATCAGATCTGAAATATGTCTAGTCAAGTCTCGTTGTTTTCTCGTTGTTTCAAAAGGTCAAAGGATTTTTTGGTGCAAACACACATTTGATCTCAACAAAAGCATGAGCGAAAAATCGTTGGTGGCCTTTAGGGGGGAACGCAACTGGTGTGCGTAGGACACGGCTTCATCCCAATTGTATAGGCAATCGCTCATCACTTAACCCCTGTCCAAGCGGCTGGTTTTTGGCCTCCAAGGACCCTTCAGGGCCAGCCTGCAGGGGAATTCTGCCGGGATATGGGATATTCTAAGGGGCTGGAAATCAAGAATGACCTGGTTGCCAATTCCATCATCAACATGATGATTCTCACTATCCTCACTATCCTTATCCTCAACCTCTCATCGTATCTCATCGTCATCGTCGTCATCCCACCTTGGATTTGCCCAGAGAGGCATTCATTGAGCCAGGCACCAGGGTGCCATCCGCACCTGCCATGGCTGCGAAGCCTTCGAGAAGGAGCCCCAACAAAACTTCCCCGAAACTATGACTTTCAACCAGCCAAAATTGGAAGTCAATCAACGAGAATCAGAATTCAAATGATGTTAACCTATATGATGTTAACCTATTTAATCTTAAATCAAGCAAAACTACGAGGGGTATTTAGCAGCAAACTACGAATAAAATTGCATAAAATCCACTGAACAGTAGAGGGGGTACAACAATGGGGGTTGGTCAAGAGCTATGATTTCCTCGCGAACGGAAGGATGAACCCCAGGAAACATCCACCAGCTTTGATGGCCAGCCTCCCATCTGGCGATTGTGGCACTGACGATGTGACAGCGAGACCGTACTACGCGGTACGCGTATAATTCCAGAAAAATAGACCAGTCGTTGACCTCTATTTTGGCAGGATGTGATTCTTTGATCTTTTTGGATGCTACAATAATTGTTCGAATTTCGGCTCAGAAATCCCAGAGTTCCACTTTTGCTCAAGATTCCGGCCTGCACCGCGAGTGAGGCGAAGGCCCAAGCTCACCTGGAGGTCACGTCATCCTGCCCTTCTGCTTCCATCCCGAACATGATGCCCATGTTTGAAGATAATGGGGTGCACCAAGCACTGAAAAAGGGATATTTCGTTGCGAAACTTAGTGATGTCACCAAGATTAGCTTAGCAACAAGGAGAATGTGACATACACAAATACTGTAGATGCACAGAGATATATTTTGATAGGTGTCATTTGAAAAAATTGAAGGGAGATATACAGTCAGCAACTAAGTCATTCGTAAAACAAGCCCCAACAAAAGGCTGGGCCAAGCGATATTTCGATCATTTTCGATCTGACCTGGCCACCGCACCGCATTAAAAAAAACACGGAATAACATGGAAGAACATCCTAAAATTGTCAATGTTCAAATTCAAATGGTTCAAAACTCGTTTTTCCTAAAGAATAATGCGAAAACCACTGTGATCACAGTATTCCAACGATTGCAACTTACTTCAATGCCGTTGAAACCAACCCAAGAACTTCTGCCAGGACCAGGACTGCTCCCTCAACGGCCTCCTCCCGCCGCTCGCCATGCGTTCGTAGCAGCGGCGATGGCAAGGGCTCCAGAGGGATGGGGTAGCCACCTGCAGAAATGCTGGGGATGTTGGTATGTAAAGAGATAAAATCACTCAGATTTGGCTATAATGGCAGCACCCCTGTTGTGCAACCCCTGAAGATTGTTTTGATGTTTTAAAGTTGACCTGCACTTGACTCTGAAAGATCACCCAACCTGAAAAGAGAATACTTGATGGCTCTAAAGACACCAAACTCCTCGACCAAAGCAAGGCACCCCAACACCCGCCGAACTGTCCCCACCTTCCAATGGGCTGAGCTTGGCCTTAGGCAGCGAGCCACGTGCTTTGTGGGTTTGCCGGGTAACCTATTTTCGGACAAACCCGTATGAACTGGCTTGAATCTTGTTGGTTCTTCCACCCAAACCAACAAAAGAGTCAGGAAATCCTCCATCTGTACCAAGTATATATATATATTATAATAAATATATATATATATATAGTCAGCATTCCAATCCATCTCGTTTTGATTCTCTTTGGCATTCACTAATGCCTTGCAGACTGCAGACACTTGAGACATCTTGAGACCAGTGTCTCCAGACTTTGTTGGCAATGTCCCGAGATTACAACCCCAAAGTCATGCCCTTCAGTGGAATACCCTCAGAATTTTAGCACTTGGAGCAGACCACCGACCCCTCGGCACCGTACCCTGGAAGCTTGACGCGAAACGCTGCCGACCTACGTCAGAGCACAGGTTGCTTGGAGCTGGATCACTGATTAGCACCTTGACATTTCCCAGTTCATAAGTGGTGAATACCCCCAAGTACAGTAGTGTCCTATCTTATCTGATTATTTAAAAACAAAAAACAGAAGTGCCTACGAAATGCTACAAACCACATTTGAGTTGGGATTCACAACCTGTATTCGATCTGCCAAACTGCTGCATGTTTCGGAGCACCTGGACTTTCCGGGCCGACACTCGGCCACCCTGGCGCAGCGAAAATGGTCCTCTGTGGTTCCCTCCAGAAACGCAGGTAGATCAAAATGATTCTGGATGTTTATGCTATGAATGCTATAATAATGCTATGCTATTCCAATGGCCAACATGAATTTCGAAACCATAGTATTTCGATTGGTATGTTGGATGTTCCCACAAGTTTGGCACACAAATTTTCCCTGCAACAAACATGGACCAACCCTTGCCTCCTCCAGAGCGCTCACCACTGGCTGGAGGAATCGATGGCTCAAGACCTGCTCAAAACTTGGACCCATGAATCAGGCCCTTAACTCGTTGATCAACTGGGATTGAAAGTATTCTTTTTGCTGCTCCGAAGAATTGCACCAAGATCACCAAGGTAGCAAATATCTATTCTGGGTAAATTCCAACATTTCGCTCAGCATTCCGGCGAAGGTCCGCCTCCGCAGCACTGGGTCGACTCATTCGACTCTTCGTCAGCAGCCAGACGCAGAGATCTGCCAAGTCCTGGAGTCACATGGTCCCGGTGTAAAAACGGTGGATGAATGGGATACCCTCTGGTTATGACTAACATAGCTATTGAAAATGACCATTTATAGTGGATTTATAGATGGGTTTTGGTATGGCTTTCCGAAAATGGGATGGGTACCCTCTGGTAAACGTTTACATAACTATGGAAAGATCCACCATTTTTCATGGGTAAATCCACTATTTCGACTGGGCCATGTTCAATAGCTATGTGGCTGTTTACCAGAGGGTATTTGATGGAATAGTTCACGGCTTTTAGTCGGAGATCTAGTGGATTACCTGGCGGATTTGGGATGAATGGGATATTTTACGGGTGTTCTTGTGGACATATAGTTACGGAATTATCATGGGATGATGAAGTGGGTTTTAAAAAAATGGTTGGTGATTAGAAATGAACACCCATTTATGTTAGATGAAAAATGCAGGGATGTGATATGTTATACGGAGTATCATAGGATGGTCTAAGATGATTTCAGGATGTTTAAGGCATATGTAAACAGCAATGGCATAAGCCACGGCTAAAGCCTTTCCAATTTGGTCATGGGAGTTCACAACCCTTCTTCCCCATGTCCAACTGACATATGCCATGCTTCCATGGCCCACCAAAAAAACGACCAAATCCCATAGATTACATCATCTTAAATCCTATGTATCACATTTAATCACCATCCTTAACCACTCTTTCCCCCATTCTTCGTTGGTTTTTCATCCTCCCCCCACCCCAACCTGGCTGTTGCAGTTGGGCCGTGGCGCCGCCGTGGCCGTGGTGATCTTCACCAAGAGACACGGTAGATTCGCCGCTTCGAAGGGCAGCTGGAGGCTGAGCAGCTCGAAGAGAGAGCAGCCGATGGCCCAGAGATCGCTGGCCATGGAGTACCTGGTGATTTAATGGTGATTTAATGGTGATTTAATGGTGGTTTAATGGTGATTTAATGGTGATTTAATGGGAATCTATGGGGATTTAATGGTGATTTCCTGTGATTTTATGGGGAAATAATATGGTTAATACAGGTGATTCATTGATAATGGATACTTGATGGGATGTTATTTCGGCATTTAGCCTCTGGTAATCAAACATAGCAATTGGTTGAGTTCACAAATGGGTGACTAATGGGGCTAACACAAAGTATAGTAGTGCCCTCAATTGATAACTTGGCTTCTTATCCATCTTGGTGATTATAATATATTGTAATTTTAGATGGGTAACAAACCAAGTTGTAACTACAGGAAGGGACCCCGGCCCCGGTATGTTTATTGGTCTATGTTCCCCATCTAACGAGAGAATACTATAGTCCTAAGCTAATTACAAACCAACTTACATATCTGGGAGACCCTTCCTGTACGAGCTTAAGGTTTGCCAGGGAGGATCCGAATTGTACCAAGATGGCTTTGGTTGTTTTGGGCTTTAACATTCATTGGAACATCCTTCTGTTTTGTTCTTTCGGCAGACCCTTTGGGATGTTCCCTGCAAGGTTTCAGAAAGAACATATTTCGAAATGTAGAAGGCCCCAGTTCAGGATGGTTTCCTGCGAAAAAGGTTTCCCTTTCTGCATGTTTATCCCAAAGCTGTCGAAGCACATTCCTTTGGCGCAGATCTCGGGGCTGAGGTATAAAGGCCTCGGTGTCACGGACCTGGTGAAACCCATCACCGAAATCGGTGTTGAGAATACACCATTTGGTAACAACAGAGCCCAAAATCTCATGGTGAAGCGTCATATGTTCCATTGGAATTCTAACTTTATAGGTATCCTCCATGATCAGACACATCCTCCATGATCGGCGTTTCCCAACTCTGACTCATAGCCATCTCCAAAGCGATCGTCGAGAGCAAATCCCTCCGAAAAAAGGGAACTCACATACCAAGGGCCCCAGGGCTTGCTTATCTGAAGAATCTCTGCCCCTGTGTGCATGACATGAAGCCGGAAGGAATAGAAATGGGTTGTGATGGTCTTGGAAACCGATCGGGTTCTTTATTGGTCCTCCATTTTGAGACGGAGCAGAATAATATGAAGCATAACTGATATGCATATATATATATATATGTACAGCACCAGTAGTACCGCACAAGGCGGTGGCGGAAGTTTCAGAATAGGAAACCTATAGGAGACGTTGGTTGTTGTGAATCACGGATGGCAGAGCGAATCCACTGATTGACCGAAAAGTGGTTGGAGTTGTGTTTGCTGGAGTGGTTGCAATGGTTGCAGTGGTCACCTCACCCACAACTGCTGGATGTAGTGTGATGTACTGCAACTGTACTTGTAGTTGTAGCGTAGTGGAGTTGTAGTTGTGGTGTAATGTAATTAGTGTAGTGTAGTTGCAGTCATGTAGCTGTAGTTGTTTTGTAGTTGTAGTTGTAGTTGTAGTTGTAGTTGTTGTAGTTGTAGTTGTAGTAGTAGTAGTAGTAGTAGTAGTAGTAGTAGTAGTTGTTGTTGTTGTTGTTGTTGTTGTTGTTGTAGTTGTAGTTGTAGTTGTTGTTGTTGTTGTTGTTGTTGTTGTTGTTGTTGTTGCTGTTGTTGTTGTTGTTGTCGCTGTTGTTGTTGTTGTTGTTGTTGTTGTAGTTGTAGTTCTAGTTGTAGTTCTAGTTGTAGTTCTAGTTGTTGTGTAGTTGTTGTAGTTGTAGTTGTTGTAGTTGTTGTAGTTGTAGTTGTTGTGGTTGGTGTTGGTGTTGGTGTTGGTGTTGTTGTTGTTGTTGTTGCTGTTGCTGTTGCTGTTGCTGTTGCTGTTGCTGTTGTCGTCGAAGTTAGGGTAGTTAAGTTAGTGAAGTTAGTTAAGTTGGTCAAGTTAGTTAAGTTAATCAGTGTCTACTTTTTCGACATCTTCACGTCAAAAAAGGCTCAAAAGCCTCAGTTTTTTACACTTTTGACTTCGAAATGTGCTTCGCGCCACAACGGCGTGCACTTTTTCGACACTTTTTCGACATCTGAACCTCCAAAAGTGGTCCGAGACCGTCAGTTTTTAACACTTTTGACTTGGAAATGTGCTTCGCGCCACAACGGCGTGCACTTTTTCAACATCTCAACTTCCAAAAGTGGTCCGAAGCAGAGGTGTTTTGTACATTTTGACTCGGAAATGTGCTTCGCGCCACAACGGCGTGCACTTTTTCGACATCTGAACCTCCAAAAGTGGTCCGACATTGGTGTGTTTTGTACATTTTGACTTCAAAATGTGCTTCGCGCCACAACGGCGTGCACTTTTTCGACATCGCAACTTCCAAAAGTGGTCCGACCATGGTGTGCTTTGCACATTTTCACTTCAAAATGTGCTTCGCGCCACAACGGCGTGCACTTTTTCGACATCGCAACTTCCAAAAGTGGTCCGACCATGGTGTGTTTTGCACATTTTGACTTCAAAATGTGCTTCGCGCCACAACGGCGTGCACTTTTTCGACATCTCAACTTCCAAAAGTGGTCCGATCCTCTAGTGTTTTGTCCATTTTGACTTGGAAATGTGCTTCGCGCCACAACGGCGTGCAATTTTTCATCTCTCATCTGGCCAGCTGGCTCCGCACCCGCCGCTTTAGCGAGTCTACTTTTCGAGCCTCCGGAGCCACAAATCATTGGAAAAACACAGTGTTTCGCGACTTTCCTACCTTTTCGCGCATCTGCATCTTCTTTCTTCTGATCTTTTCTCTTCTGACTCTTCTCACCTCTGCTTTTCAACTGTCCATATTGTCGGAAGTTTCACTTCTAAACTTCCTTCGATTATATACATGTATACATATGTGTTTACATATATATATATATATAATTATATAATTATATATATATATAGAGAGAGAGAGAGAACATATCTAAAACACTGTGCTCCCACAGCAGATCGAATGAATCCTTGAGAATTCTTTGCACGGAGATGCTCAGGACTAGCAACATTCATAACCCTTTCAATATGAATCTACAACCCCCAAATTCAAGGTGGATCTCCCAAAAAAGGAACACCTTTTAATTTTAACTGGTACAAATCTCCTCACCCAAACCCCTCCACGCAAAGGGCCCTATCCCATCACCCAAACGGCCCCGCGGTTTGCCACAGCACGTGCCAACAATCTGTTGTTCGATGAAAATCTCCGTGGCCTTCTTGAGCTTCATCGCCAGGCCAAAGTCCCCGATGCGCAACTTGTCCTCCGAGTCCAGAAAGAGATTCCTTGGGATCGCCGCCACAAATCATCCATCAAGACATGGGGATGGGTCAAAACCCTGGTACCGTGCCGTGAACCCCAAAATAGCTGGGATTTATGGATGTTCATCCCATTAAAAATGGTATTAATAGGTATTGATCCATACCCACATCTTTGATTTTTGATTTTGAAGACCATGGACCATGGGGATGGAAACGAGATTTAAAATGGCACTGGTCACACCTATTGAACCTATGGTTCCACATCACTTAGAGGATACGTGCCTTCAATTTTTGGTGGCTGCTACAGCGACAATCGCCAGGTCAAGGTCCCATTGTGGTGGATAGGTCCCTGGGTCCCTGGGTCCCTAAGCCATCTCTTCCATTCACACCAACTTCCATAATTTCCAGTACAGCTCCAGCTGCACTGAAAAAATGCTCAGCATTGGGGATGATCATCCCAGCCATGTTGAAAATGGGAAATGTATCGAAACCTTTGAACCCTCCCACTAGTAGCTAAGGACCCTTACACCTCAGGTCATCATACAAATCATCCTACCAATCGTCACAGCATATGCCATGCCATGCAGCTACTGCACGGCGCAAACAAATTCGGAAGCAGCCAAATGAAACACGTCCAGTGTGTCAAAGACATCTACTGCGACAACAAAAGGTTCAATCAAGTACAACTCCAGCTTCAGAAAACCGTTCTTTTGCTCCCTATTCGGCACTCATTCCTCCCCTGTGGCCCATGACCCTTCGGAGTCTGACAAGTCTATCAACGGCTGCAAGCCGTCATCCACCCCTTTCACGCCAAACAACATTGGTAGCGGCATGTTTGCGCGCACCAGCTGAGTCAAAGGAGACTCTGCATCAAGCTCATGATCATTGTAGATGTTGCAGAAACTGCCAAAGAGCCTGAGATCTGGTAACAGAACACTACTGCAGCAAATCAAAGGATTCTGCAGCAAGACTGTTCCATCGTCGATGTCAACATACACATTCACCCAAGGGATTTCCCCGTCTGAGTCCTCTGGCTGCAAGTGGGCAGCAAGTGACAGGGAGCAATTGAGCCGGCAGCCATTAAAAACAACCTCCACTGTCTGGTGTGATTCGGTCATGAAGTCGTCACCTTCCATGTCCTCTCTAGAGAAAATGCTTGCTGCTTTCCTCGCATCGAATGTAAACTGGTGGCCACGTAGCCATCAAACGTCTCAGCTGCTAAGGCCTTGACAGCTTTGAGAAAGGCCAGTAGTTCCGTCCTATGCTGGAACTTGGTCTCGCAGCATAGGGTCACAGCGGGAATCATCTTAAGGTCTCCCAAGCCAAGATATCGCCAGAGCCCACAGGCTTCCCAAGTCCCTGGTGCATGTTGCCAGGGACCTTCACTGGCTACTTGTCTGCATGCTTCAACTCCACTCCTCAGGGCACGAGAAGCCGCGGCAAGCTCAAGCACCAAGGCATCTGATGAGAGATCCAGCATGTGCACCAAGAGTACTTCACTCAGGTTGTGTAGCCCCGGCATGGTCAGAAAATTGCTGTGTTTCAAAAAAGTCGTTGCTCCTTAAGCTGCTCTGCATGTGGATGACAATGATGATAACAATGGAATTGAGAAAACTGTTCATCAAGTCTACCTGGGAGTCCAATGCTCATTGGATTCAACCCCCTATGTCCACAACTCCAGTTTCAGTACCCAACAGCACTACAATAATTGATCTTGTTGAAACTGCGATGGCCAAGTTTTGATCCCTCCTTGGCTTGACAAATCATCTGGATGTGTTGATTTCATTGAAAGGTTGATGATGTGGCTGGTGAGTGGCAGGGACAGTAAGTGCAGGCTTCATGACAATGTATTTGTTTGATAGTGTTATCATGTTAGCATAACATGTACATGTATCATTCACTCCAAAAATATTCATCCATTGCAATCTGGTAGTAGTCCAGAAATTTGCAGCTGGGTTCTCTATCTTTCCTGATTTTCCCAGTTGAAAATAGTGTTGTGGCATACTATTTTTTTCGTCTCCAGCTGGGTTTCCTGTTTTTTTCTCAGCAAAGATTTCGTATATTTCGTCCAGTTTCGTCTAGTTTTTTGGGTCTTTTTTGTTCTTCTGATTCAATATCCAACCTTTCTGTTCGCACAGTCAACTTAGACAGTATCGTATTTTGGAGATTGCTGATACCTCGCGCTTACTTTTGCCCATATCTCAACGGGTTCTGATCAAACTCATGGGGTGAAAATAGCATACATCGGATACATTCTAACCCCGCCATTTTTTGATGTTTATTCTATATATATATATATACTATGGTATATCCAAATGCTACTATCGTATACTGTTGTCAGAATCTAATGATTATATAGTACCTCCTGACACGCGCCATTTGGCGCAGATTTGGCGACATTTCTGGACCGTGCGAGGTCATCGTTGCGATTGAATGATTCTTCATTCTCTTCGCACCTTGATGAATTTCCATATCAATAATCATCATGGTAGTCATAACAATCATCATGATGATGACGACGACAATGATGATGATGATGATGATGATGATGATGATGATGATGATGATGATGATAGTAATGATGATAGTGATTATGATAGTACTGATGATAGTACTGATGATAGTACTGATGATAGTACTGATGATAGTACTGATGATAGTACTGGTGATAGCAATGATGATAGTAGTGATGATAGTAATGATGATAGTAATGATAATAGTAATGATGATAGTAATGATGATAGTAATTATGATAGTAATGATGATAGTAATGATGATAGTAGTGGTGATAGTACTGATGATAGTAATGATGATAGTAATGATGATAGTATATAATGATGATAGTAATGATGATAGTAATGATGATAGTAATGATGATAGTAATGATGATAGTAATGATGATAGTAATGATGATAGTAATGATGATAGTATATAATGATGATAGTAATGATGATAGTAATGATGATAGTAATGATGATAATAATGATGATAGTGATGATGATAGTAATGATGATAGTAATGATGGTAGTAATGATCATAATAATGATGATAGTAATGATGATAGTAATGATGATAGTAATGATGATAGTAATGATGATAATGATGGTGATAGTAATGATGATAGTAATGTTGATAGTAATGATGGTCGTAATCATGATAGTAATGATCCATATGATACATGTACAGCATACATATTATTTTGTGCATCTCAACAATGAGTATTAAAGTTCAAATCATTATACAACCAAGAAACACTACTGAATATGAATGCAAACAATGCAAATATGAATGAAAATGACCCCAAAACCCGTTCATGGGTATATGGTTGATATTGCATGTATGGGATTGTTTCTCCCATATGTTCATCTTCTCACCAAGTATGCATACAGACCCAAATCGTTTGTAAACTGAGCAAATGTGTGAAGTCTAAGCTAGCTTGTGTGGGTTCTGTGGTGGGGGATATGAGTATAAATTGCTAGCTGTGATAATCAAACATGGCAATGGAAAATCCACCATTTAGTTCGATGATTTTGCCAGCTCTAACCCTCCAGAGTTCAGGGATTTTTGAGCTAGCCATGTTTAATGACACTGCGCTGCGATGGTAACCAGCTGTTCCACGCCGTGCGTCTCGTTTTTGATGTCCCTGTGGATGATGCACAAGCCATGCAGGTATCGGAGTCCCAGCAGCGCCTGGGGGCTTCGCCGAAGCCAACAGTGGCTTCAAAAAGATGGGCGATCCCCAGTACCCCAGTACCCTGGCTTTCAATACTCAAACGGCCCAAAAAAAACAAAATTTAGAATGAATAATGAGCCATAAAAAAGGAAAGCTCCGAAAATAAGGAATGACTTTGTCACAAGATTTTTTGGAAGCACTTTTGCTACAGTACGACTATTCATCCAGCCATATTGATGTCTTATCTGGATCTAACTCGAACCTCGGGACTTGTTTGCTTTTCTTGAGAGTAGTCAGACTTGTTCTGAACAAAGATCCACCAGATCCACCAAAGTTTGCAAAGGAAGTCGATTCATGTGTTTTTTCCTTCCAAAGTTTAGTGATGTTCAGCGTGTGCATGTGATGTATTTCCCCCTTCTGAGTGAATGCCGTTCAAAATTCTTCGACTGGATGTGCAGAAACACAGCTTCTCTCGTCCAACCATGAACGTGCCTGTGTGACCCATTGCATCACTTGCTCCTGGCGAACGACTTCTGGATCCCACCCGCTGGGCAACTCATCAATCGCAGTGACAAACTGTGTCCAGTCCAAAATGGTCCAATAAACCTTCCAGTAAACTACAAATTCACCCATGAAAGTAGATGTGTATCTGTATAAATATATATATATAATTTTCGTGATCTCCGGTAAACAACCATGGGATTTCCCTCATTGTTTCTCAGCTGTGGCTCCTCCTGCAGTGGATGCCCAGCTTTCTTGGCCACGTCCACTCGCTTCAGCAGGTCCCCGCAGGCCGCGTGGTCCATGACGATAGCCAAGAAGCCCTGGGCAAAGCATGGGCAAAGCGACATCCTCATGATGTCATGGTTGCTGCTGCAGGTTGGAATCGCGACCCGTTGGTTCATCATGGGGTAACATTCACCAACAAACATAACTGGGGCCCCCACCTAGCAGGGGATATGGCCCGGGATAGACCATTATGTTCTATGGGGGAATTAAAGAACAAAACAACAAGCCAATGCATTGAGGATTGACATGTTGATGTGACAAACAAACATGCGGATATGGAACAACCATTCCAAACATGCGTTGGGTATCTTGATAAGAGAAGTGTTCAAAATCGGAATGAAAAGGGAAGGAACATGGAAAACCACCAGCCGATCAATTTGAAGCATGACAACCTGTTATGTAATTATTTGGAGGAGGTTTGAGCGCATTCATGTGGTGCCCATGGGTCGTGAACGAATGTTGGCCGCCATTCTCTCCCAAATCGGCCCGCAACCTTCTCTTCGAACGAATCCCGAAAGCGAATGATCTGTGGGTGCCTCCGCCGGCGCTGCCGGTGCTGCATTCTTGATGATGAAATCCCAAATTTCTGCTGCTTGCGTGCTTTGTTCACAATCCAACTGCTGGTGAAATCGAGTTTTCTGGTCAAATCCACATTTTTGTTGTTCTCTAAAATCCAAGTGTTTAATGGAAAAAAGGAAAAAACATGAAAAATCCAACATTCTCACCACGTTTCGCTGTTGGATCTCCCTGCCAGTGATTCTCCGCAGCCTGAGCTGTCGCATGATCTCCGCCTCCCTGCGGGCATCGCCACGATCCAGTTCGAGGGCCTTGCCCCCGACGCTTGGTGCAGGTCGGAATCGCCCAAGTTGGTGTTCAACTCCAAGAACTGTTGGGTTTATGGTATTATATATATATACATACACACATATACATATATATATATACACATATGTATATGCACATATACATATATATATATACTTAAGTGCTCACATGCAACGCGCACAGAAGTCTATGTTATGCCTAACCACCAATATATATATATATATATACAGTATATATACGCGCAAACACCCCGATTCGCCCACACCCCTTCTATGCTGTACACTTGGGGATATCAAACGTTAGACTTTACATTCAATTGGGAAGATCAACAGGGGCACTTAGGGAATATAAATTCCCCCCCGCCCCCGTTAAACTTTACATTCATTGAAGATCTTCAATAAGGGTTTAATTCTCCCATCCCCGTTAAACTTCTACATTCATTGAAGATCTTCAATAAGGGTTTAATTCTTCCACCCCCGTTAAATTTCTACATTCATTGAAGATCTTCAATACAGTAAGGGTTTGATGATGATGATGATGATGATGATGATGATGATGATGATGATGTGGATGTGTAAGAGACTCGCACAGGTCCCTATGCTGTGCGTGCCGATATAGAACATGAAGTTAGCCATGATGCAAAAAAACTCCCATTTTTACCACGTTTTCAGCACATACGAAGATGGCCGCCGACAAGCGCGGGCAAATCGAGGTGTTTGGCCGTATATATATATATATATGGGATTGAAAAATAAAACATTGGGCTTTCTATTTATTTATGGGATTGAAAACTAATGGAATGCAATGGATTTTTAATTGTTTAATGGTATATAATGGTCTATATCTATGAGATAAAGTTCATGGGATCCCATCTCATCCTAAGTATTGAAAGTCTCCCTCCATCCTAAGAATGTCTCCCTCAAAGAAGCCCTGCATGGTTTAGTGTTGTCTATTCATTTTCAGGGGGCCATTTTCGGGGTTTTTTTTTATTAGTGGGATGGCATTAGGGCTGAAAATGGAAAACTCGTCAGGGGATCTCGATACATTTGGCTGAGTCCAAGCCCTTAGAGAGCTGGGCTCTTCACATCCCGCGTTTCAGCATGTCTTGGGTGATTTTTTTCGAGTTTGGCGCATGAAAACCCGCAAAAAGTGTGCTCATTCGCAAGTTCGGTGGATGAAATTCCTCATTGTGGTTGCTCAAATTCCAATTTTGGGGTGAAATTCTCAACCTGGTTGCTGAAACTCCCAATTTGGCTCCAATGGTGAACTCGTGCCATTTTTATCCATTTTTCCCTTTCAAATCATGGTTTTGCTTGATGAAAATCCCACTCAAATCTGCCCCTCCAAAATCTCTGGCTGCCCGGTTCCGTCATCCAGTCCTTCAGCACACGTCGTTGGTTCTCGCCGTCCTTCACCAGGAAGGCAACACCAAAGTGGCCTCCAGGGACGCCAGGGCCCACTGAACCCACTAGAAACTGATGATGATCATGATGATGATCATGATTACCCTCTGGTAAATTAACATAACTATGGAAAATCACCGTTTTCATGGGAAAATCCACTATAAATAGCCATTTTCAGTAGCTATGTTAAATTACCAGAGGGCATGATGATCATGATTATGATGCTCATGATTATGATGCTCATGATGATGCGCTGCTTCGTATTGTGCATGGTTTTTTTTGCATGGTATGGTGAAGGTGAATGTGAAGAGAAGGAGGCTTAGAGTCCACTAATGTCCACAAAAAATATCCGGAAAATGATCATGATCATTTCCTTGGACAACCACCGGGGGGGCATCCCCTGACCGACCAACCTCTCCCGATGCTTCGTTCGATGCGATAGCCCCGATCCGTGCCCAGTTGGAAGTCGTCCACTTCGCTGCGATGATGGACCACCAGCAAAGTCCTTGGCGCCCAATGGGGACCCACTGGGGAGCATACACTGGTCGTTACGGATCTGTGGATCAGTATATATGGTCCCGTCCTCCGTCTCTCCACCCCCCCCCATGGGTTGGGTCCCCAGGTAGTAGCCCCAATTCCCTTCTATTTGCAAGCTATTGGCAGCATTTCTGAGGTCCAGCTTCGTATTTGCTAGGTCTTTGCAGCATTTCTGACTACCAGCCTCGCATTTACTAGGTACATGCTACCTTTTAGGCGACCTACGTAGCACACATACTCCTTCAAAGTACCTACGTGCTACCTATAGTCATACATATATGTGCTATGTATCTACTGTATCTACTTCCTGTTTACTATCTGTGTACTCTGACAACACTACCTCTGTTGAACATATACCGTACCTACCATACATGTCAATGATGCCATGCATACCATACCTATCATATCTATCATACATACCATACATATGAAATGTAATTACCACACCTACCATACATACAATAGCATACATACAATAGCAAGCATACATGCCATACATACCATACCTACCTTAGATAGGACATATTCCATACCCATCATAGTAACCATACATACCATACAGACCATACATACTGTCATATCAAACATACCATATCCAACAGACTTACATACCATACCTACCATCCATACAATACAAACCACTCATGCCATACATACCATACCTACCATACATACCAAACATACCATACTTTCCAAACATGCCATACCAGACCGACCATACACACCATACATACCCACCATACCATACCACACCCTCACCACACCACAGGGGGGGGAGGGGGACAGTGCCACACCCCCACCACACCACAGGGGGCGGAGGGGGAAGATCTCATATGGGACCAGTATATGGGACCCATCCACCACACCACAGGGGGGGGAGGGGGACAGTGCCACACCCCCACCACACCACAGGGGGGGGAGGGGGAAGATCTCATATGGGACCAGTATATGGGACCCATCCACCACACCACAGGGGGGAGGGGGGGGGGTGGCAGGGCCTGGTGCATATATATATATATAAATATATAATATAATATAATATAATATATAATATAAAATATAATATATAATATAATATATAATATAATATAATATAATATATAATATAATATAATATAATATAATATAGTATAGTATAATATAATATAATATAGTATAATATAATATAATATAATATAATATAATATAATATAATAATATATATATACATACATATAATATATATATACCTATATAACACTGGATGATATTACAAGTAACTATAGCAAACTATAGCTACTAGATTAATGTAGCTATAGATTCGTGATTTATGGTTGGCAGGCTGCATGCAGATACTGAGGATAGAAGCAACAGTGACTGACAGTGACTGAAGAGTGGGGATATCATTCAGAGTCAGGATAGAAGCAAAGAAACAGAGATAACCACTCACCAAATAATTTCTCAGGGATTTTCAACCGATGCAACCATCCATTACGCATGTCGCAGCAGGTTGACAAGTGAGCCGTCGCTGCCGAGGTAACTTTCTAGTGGTGAGTCCGCTACGGAAGTGGAAATCCTACATCCATGTCTTGTCAAAAGTAGCCATTGAAACCAGCAACTTCCTGCCATGTCGAATTCCCGGTGGATACAGACAAATGATCTCCTGTGAAATAGGCCCATCAACCGTTCATGATTGCCGCACTTCTACCCATCATTTTGGAGCCGTCGACGCCAGGCTGCTGTTCATAGTCCACAGGCAGTCCATCGTCTGACTCCTGAACGAAGCCCAAGATTGTTTTTCAGAATACCTCACTAATCTGGGACCATCATGGACCATCAGTTCGATCTTAGGGATCAAATCCGTGAAATCCCAGACACTATGAGCTGATGCTCTGAGACTTCGAAGGCCACTCTGAGGTTACATCGGGGTCTGAAAATTTCAGGTATGGCTATGGATCAATACCTATAGATACAGTTTATTAGGGAATGAACATCCATTTACCAGCTATTTTGATGTTCACCAGGGGTACAAGGTTTTGACACACTGCCGTATATCTACTTACCAGGTAAAATTGGCAATCTTCTTGGGGAAACATGATGATAAATATGATAAATCAGGGCCAGGGGAGTTGGGGGATACTTATACCCAATTTTCAGACCAACCCACAAAGTTGGTGGCTCAAGCAAGACAACCTGCCAAAAAATTCTAGGATAAACCCCTGAAGTTCGGAAACAGTTGTCAGCAATCCAAGCGTGCAAACAACTTCAGAAGGATAGTGCAGATATAACAATAACTAACAACCAATACCCCCAACCTAACCATTTATCGATTGGTGGGTCTTCAAAAGACGAACTGTTTGTAAAAGTGAATTCCCATCGGCGATTGATGGGTGGCTGTCCTCCATCAGAAGCGGCGCTGGAGGCACCGGGCAGCGGTTTTTCCCGCGGTTTTTTCCATTAGAAACTCAAAGGGTGCCAACTTCAAAAAGATGGAAGTGGGGATGGATGGCAGTTCTACCGATGAGTGAGCCATGATTTGTTTATTGAAAATATACCCATGCAAAAAATCATGTAATACTGGATGATTCATAGGTATCCTGTTTTTTTGATGGGTTATAAGTTTTTCGCAAAACCCCAATAAGCCTCGATCATAAATCAACAGGGATATTTAGAACGGTTCATATGTATACCTATCTATCTGTCTACTTTGGGACCTTCAATCTGTGTTCAAGATAGAAATATGAACCATTTGTATCGGCAGGAAAATAAATAGGCTGGCTCGTATTTCGTGTGAATGTCTGAATCCATGTTCATCACGATATTCTTTGGCCTTAGACCTTTACAGAAAGTCTCCCATAAATTGGCTACCGGTACTTTTTAGTCATCACACTTCTCATTAAAAACTCTGTTTGATGTCCTTGGACGAACTTCTTCAAGAGTCCATGTTCAAGAGTTTCTTGTCCCTTTCTATTCTCCTTTCTCTGCCTATCCCCTGTCAATTTTCTGTATTCCACGGAAGCCGGCACCCTTCAATTCCGGGCAGCAGCTACGGGTGAGCTGCCGCTACGTTGGCAGCTGGGGTGGGATCCTGTTGGACTCCCTGGATGTTGGGCTGAATCATCCCGGCATTTAGAGATTGAAATTTACTGCGGGCAGACGGCTGAATGTGTTATTTTGACTTCTCGAAAAAAAAATCACCTAAATTCCGGCAGTTGAAAAATCTGTCCCAATTCTGACCTGCAGATGTCGTTTTTCTTGTGCTATGTAGGTCGCCATCCCAGTTGTGATCATCCAATGGCCAGACTGCCACCCCGCATCACATCTTCACCCCTTGAGCCATGACTTGAGCAAAGTTGGAGCTTCTAGAGTTGATACCCCAACTGAGTTTCTGGGTGATATTAGGCTGTGGGTATGTAATATCATATGTATATTATGTGTATAATACATACATATATATATATATATGTATATAATGTGACGTGTATGTATGCATATAGTATAAATAAAAATTGTATATACCCCAAAATCCAACATGGTTAATCATCATGTTTCCCTTGGTTTCATGGCCAACAGTGTGTATATCCCATCGAAACGACCGACCAAATACCATTGGTTTCTGGGCCAAATATGGTCGCTCCACATCCCACTGTTGATCATCAATTTTCCAATTATAAAACTGCCAAACTGAGTATCCCCCCAATCTTCGGACAGCCCCATAAATTGGGTACATATTATGTATATGTCTCAAAATGATGGATATCTGAAATTGATGGCCATGTTTTAACGAAGATCATGCCGATGGCCATCCCCTTTTATAGAAACAGCCGCGTTGTTTTGACCATGGCACATATGGAGGTTTCTTGAAATGGTGGATCCCCAGTCGTCACCATGGTTGCTTCAATACTAAGCCATGGATAGCCATGGTCTCAATGGGAATTTCAGGAGCCTAAATTGGAGGTACCTACCATATCTAAGGCCTATTTTTCAGGCCTATTTTTCAGGGAATATCCCCACAAAATATGGCCCAAAATATGGTAATTACTCACGTACCTCCATTTTAATAGGATCCTGAAATTCCCATTGATGGTCTAATGTTGAATGATTTCGGGTACCCTCTGGTAAACTAACATAGCTATTGAAAATTGCCATTTATAGTGGATTTACCCATAAAAAATGGTGATTTTCCATAGTTACGTTAGTTTACCAGAGGGTACCCATCCCATTTTCGGAAACCCATACCAAAAAAAAAATCATCCTATGGCTCCACCCTTGAGTTCCCCTGCTCCCGGCCGTTGGCCAGTTCAAGGACGTGCTGCACCAAAGGCTGGAAGTGGGGCCTTTTTTTTGGCGTCGCCGTTTTGGAACTGGGGAAAAGTGGGAAAAACATGGAGATCTCGGGGGGGAAACGATGGAAAAATGTATGGCGAAATCACCACCAAACGGCTGGGTTCTAGAGTTTCTGTCGTTTTTGCAGGAATTCACCATGAAACATGAGGAGGATGGGGCTTTGAATTGGAAAAAAAAGATGGGTATTCACCATCAAACATGGGGATCTCAATGGGATCTTTCTTTGGGATTTCATAGGATCCGAGCAGATTGTTGATAACGCACAAACCTTAACCGTTGGCTGATTCCACCATCATAACCATCGTAAACGTCGTAAACACAAAGTGCAGTCCGCTGGTGAGGCCCAGTAAACTGGCCTCAGCTGGGAGATCCTCCACATGAAATGATGTGTTTCATGTGGCCATTCTCGGAAAATGATGTTCGAAAGACTCCAACCTCAAAGCATCAGATATCATCAGATATCATCAGATTCTGTGAAACCCCCAACTTTCAACATTTTTCAACCCCTCCTATCCGTTCCAGTCCCCGATTCCCCGATCTTCCGCCAAGGCGCGCGATGCCCGCGGGACTCAACAACAAACCAATGAGTTGATGGAGGCACTGCAGGGACAGGGACAACAACCTCGGCTCAGTTCCAGGACAGAAACCCAGTTAGAACGATGTAAACTCCCAAAATCCCAATCAAAAGTGAGTTAAAAGTGGGTTAATGAAGTTAAATCACTATAGTGTTCTGTTTTTTTTGGTGATTGCTACGCATGATGTGAAACACTTCGGAAGACCAATATGTAGCCCTAAAATTGGGCATGATCGTCTTCTAGACCCAAAGGTTCCTAGGGTGGGTTCGATCTCAGTTATTTTTCACCCTCTGGACATGTTCGGATAATGGATAATGGCCTGGACAAAATTCCTCATGTTGGAAAACATGCCCAAATAAAAACAAAAATGTCATCTATATATATATATATATATCTAGTAAACAGCTGGCACATAGAATATTAAAAATAAATGTGCCACTAAGAATATGGAAAATACATAGCAAAACCTATTCCTGGAATGTCATCCACATAGAATATTTATCCACATAGAATATGGGGGTATATATATATATATATACCTTATCAAAATCTCAAGACTCTCCAAGAAAATCGTTGATCAGTGAAATCTAAAGTAAACAGCGCGGACATCGCCATGCAACATGATGGTTTGATTCAGGATCAACTCAGCACATCTTTACAAGGTTTATATTCTATGTGCATCGTCTGTGGATATTCACTTAGAATATTGTTTTCACCCAGGAAAAATCATGTAACTAATAGACCCATTCGAAAAAAACAATGATTAATATTCTAAGTGCTAGCCGGTTACTATATATTCATCTAGAATCTACAAGTGTAGATGCCTTCATCCAACTGTTTTTTAATTCGCTCTGGAAAATGGCCCAGTCGAAATAGTGGATTTTCCCAGCTATAAAACGGTGGATCTTTCCAGTTCGTTATGTAAACGTTTACCAGAGGGTAAATCTCCATTAATCACAGCTGATAATCATTGATTATCATTATTAACCACTATTAACCACTATTCCTCTCTGCTAGTTTACCACTATTAACCACTATTAACCACTAGGAAAACCATAGGAAAACCAAACCTCTGAAACCAGCACCAGCTCCAAGTCCCCTGAGTCCAATACTGCAGTCCTGTGGTTGGCACAACTCCGCCGGGCCTTCCATGGCTCCGGAGATGACCCGTGACCCGTGACCCGACGGCTTGGGGGAACCGGGGGAACCCCGTTGGGGAAAACCCTAAAGATTTACCCCATTAAAGGGGTGTTAAACCATGTTAAACCATGTTAAACCCATTTTCACGTTTTTTTTGGGTGTTAGAACTTGGGTAGAGGGAAAATTCACAAGCTTGAGCTGTTGACCTTGAATTGATCCATTGAAAAAAGAATGTTTTAAAAAGGAAAAACATGGAGAAAACGCTACGAAACTGGAATGTTTCGAACTAAAGTTCACCCATTCTTTGCATCCGCTGCAACCTGGCTTGGAGCCCCGACATTTGCGCAGACTCCCCATGCTGCGGAGCAGCACTGGAGGCCTGCACAGCTACCCCACCCAGTTACGATGTGTTCTTTTCACTAATGGTTGTAAACGGGGTTATCATTCCACAAATATCCATGGGGTTATACTATACATATATTATCTTCCAATCCAATCAGAGTCCATGAGCTGATCCCGGGTCGTCCTATACTAACATACCCATGCTTGTTGATCATGTATGAATATATGCAATATATAACATCTGATGTGTTCTGGATAATCTCACTTTTTTGTAGTTTCAAGATATTTTCAAATATGTTAATATATATATATATAATTATATATGTACATATATATATATATATGTGTGTGTGTATGTGTGTGTGTATGTATGTATTATTTTATTACCTTACATTACATTATATCATATCATATCATATATTATATATTATATATTATATATTATATATTATATATTATATATTATATATTATGTATTATATATTATATATTATATATTATATATTATATATTATATATTATATATTATTTATTATATATTATATATTATATATTATATATTATATATTATATATTATATATTATATATTCTATATTATATATAATATATTCTATATTATATATTATATATTATATATTATATATTATATATTATATATTATATATTATATATTATATATTATATTGTGTTATATCATGTTATGTTATATTATAGTATGTTATATTATATTATATTATATTACATTATATCATACTATATTATATTATAAGAAATTAGATTATATTAGATTATATTAGATTATATTAGATTATATTAGATTGTATTAGATTATATTAGATTATATTAGATTATATTAGATTATATTAGATTGTATTAGATTATATTAGATTATATTAGAGTATTATAATATTATAATTATAATTATATTATATTATCTATACTGTATTGTATATCATAATTGTATTATATATATATATGATCATGTCCCAAAAATTCTCATCAGGCCCTGTGGGATGACACCCAGCCTCTTCGAGTGCAGGGCTGCGGAAGCCCACGAAACGCTTGGTGGTCTCTGCGTCACCGGTGCCCTGACAGTTTCGGAAGGGGAAACTAAGCGGCTGAAGGCTGGAAAACATTGTGAACGAGCCCAATTTCGCCCTCAACTATTGTTTAAAAAAAACAAAAAACAGCCCGCACTGACTGGAGAATCACCAGCTAAAATGAGTAAATCATCACTAGAGATGGATAGAGATGGCAGTTTTCCGGCCATCTTTGATTGCGGGAAGGTTTTTGTAGTCCTCCTTGTAGTCCTCCCAAAAAAAAAAGATGCTGGGGCTCTGATTTGGAGGTAGCCACTTCTCTTTGGGCATCAGAATTTCGGAGCCCAGGGGCTGGTCCAAAGGCGATGTCGCAGAAGATGCACCTCGGGGCTGCCAGTGGCCATGGCAGTGGCGGCACAACCAGTGGAAGTTTTCCAACGCTGCCATGACGGACGGATTCCGGACGGATTGGTTATGATTGGTGAAACAGGGACCATCCGAAGCGGGGGAATTCATTGGTTCCTGGCCCCCCACACCTCATCCCCAAACCAAGTCGCTGCAGGAGGTTTTGAACAAAGGACACCTGGAAAACACCACGTTTGACTGTGGTCGATGGGGATCATCCATGGAAAATGTCAAACAAAAATAACCCAAATATGTCAAACCACCATTTTTCCATTAGCTTAATTTAGATCTATATATATATAATATGATATAAATTAATATAATATCCCCATGAGATTTACCATGGTTTACCCCATTTGGTGTGGTCCCCCATCCGTCGAATCAAAGCCTCGCCCCAGCAGCGCAGCACTCGCAGTTGCAACTGCTGCAGCTGTCGCAGTGCCTCGCCCAGACCTGGGGCTTTGAACATAGACATATAATACATATAAATCCAAAGACGCTTTACAACACCGAAAGCATCAAAAAAAAACATGTCAGGTTCGTTTCTGGCTTTACCACAATGTTTATTTGTTCGCCGGTGCCGTGTACTCGCATCCTGCATCATCACCCCAGTGCGCTGGCCGAGGGGATCATCGCGAAGCAGCCTCTGAGTTCCCAAGCCATTCTCCTTGGCGCTCAACGCGGCCACCTCGGGCCAATTGAAGCACTCCAAAGCCTTGGTTCGATGCAGAGCGCCAGCTGAGGGACAGGTACTTTCGAATGACTGTCAGACTCCTCTTGTAGAATAACAACAATAATAGTGATATTAACAATAATTTTAATGATAACATGAATAATAACAATAATAGTAACCATAATGAGAATGATGCTGATAAAAATAACAATAATAATAATAATAAGCATCGTCATCGTCATCGTCATCATCATCATCATCATCATAGCTATAACTTCACCACCGAGGCTCTGGAAACACTGCCATGGCCACCTGAAGGCATCCGGCAGAGATGGCCCAGCGTTCGCACAAGGAGCGACCTGGGAGGAATTTGCACATGGGAAGTCATGGGGGTTTTACCAACTTAACCAAAAAAAAATTGCACTTCATGTGATGTAATGGGATTTTAAGCATCAACAAATGGGGTTTGATAGGATATCTGATGGGATTTTAGGAATCAACAAATGGGGATCAATGGGATTTGATGGGATATCTGATGGGATTTTGCCATCAACAATTGCAAACGGGCATGGTAACCATTGACTCGATGGAATTTCATGGCATTTACTGGGTATATTTTGGGGGATGTACAGCCAACCACAATTGTTTGGGTCTGCCTAAAAATGGGGGAAGATCAATTTTAATAGGAAAAATGATGATGAACCAGTGAATTTAGGGGTACACCATTTGGCACCAAAGGGTTGAGGGTCTCCAGTCTGACTCTGGCTCTTCTCGCGTTTGAAAAAACACTTTTTTTTCCAGAACATTCCAACAGTCAATCATTAACCCATCAACAAAATGTTGATTAACCCATCATTAACCCATCATTAACCCATCAACAAAATGTTGATTAACCCATCATTAACCCATCATTAACCCATCAATTAACCCATCATTAACCCATCAACAAAATGTTGATTAACCCATCATTAACCCATCAACAAAACTGTGATTAACCCATCATTAACCCATCATTAACCCATCAATTAACCCATCATTAACCCATCATTAACCCATCAACAAAATGTTGATTAACCCATCATTAACCCATCAACAAAATGTTGATTAACCCATCATTAACCCATCAACAAAATTTTGATTAACCCATCATTAACCCATCATTAACCCATCAATTAACCCATCATTAACCCATCAACAAAATGTTGATTAACCCATCATTAACCAATCAACAAAATGTTGATTAACCCATCATTAACACATCAAATAACCCATCATTAACCCATCATTAACCCATCAACAAAATTTTGATTAACCCATCATTAACCCATCATTAAACCATCAACAAAATGTTGATTAACCCATCATTAACCCATCAACAAAATGTTGATTAACCCATCATTAACCCATCAACGAAATCTTGATTAAACCATCATTAACCCATCATTAACCCATCAACAAAATGTTGATTAACCCATCATTAACCCATCATTAACCCATCAACAAAATGTTGATTAACCCATCATTAACTCATCATTAACCCATCATTAACCCATCATTAACCCATCAACAAAATGTTGATTAACCCATCATTAAACCATCAACAAAATTTTGATTAACCCATCATTAACCCATCATTAACCCATCAATTAACCCATCATTAACCCATCATTAACCCATCAACAAAATGTTGATTAACCCATCATTAACCCATCAACATAATTTTGGTTTACCCATCATTAACCGATCATTAACCCATCATTAATCGTTGATTAACCCATCATTAGCCCATCATTAACCCATCATTAACCCATCATGAACCCATCATGAACCCATCATTAACCCACCATTAACCCATCAACAAAATTTTGATTAACCAATCATTAACTCATCATTAACCCATCATTAACCCATCATTGAGCCATCATTAACCCATCAACAAAATTTTGATTCACCCATCATTAACTCATCATTAACCCATCATTAACCCATCATTAACCCATCATTAACCCATCATTAACCCATCATTAACCCATCATTAACCCATCAACAAAATTTTGATTAACCCATCATTAACCCATCATTAACCCATCAACAAAATTTTGATTAACCCATCATTAACCCATTAACAAAATTTTGATTAACGCATCATTAACCCATCAACAAAATTTTGATTAACCCATCATTAACCCATCATTAACCCATCAACAAGTTTTTGATTAACCCATCATTAACCCATCATTAAGCCGTCATTAACCCATCAACAAAATTTTGATTTACCCATCATTAACCCATCAACAAAATTTGATTAACGCATCATTAACCCATCAACAAAATGTTGATTAACCCATCATTAACCCATCATTAACCCATCAACAAATTTTTGATTAACCCATCATTAACCCATCATTAACCCATCAACAAAATGTTGATTAACCCATCATTAACCCATCAACGAAATTTTGATGAACCCAATTTTAACCCATCATTAACCCATCAAAAAAAATTTGATTAACCCATCATTAACCCATCATTAAGCCATCATTAACCCATCAACAAAATTTTGATTAACCCATCAACGAAATTTTGATGAACCCATCATTAACTCATCATTAACCCATCAACAAAATTTTGATTAACCCATCATTAACCCATCAACGAAATTTTGATTAACCCATCATTAACCCATCATTAAGCCTCTTGTTTTACCCTCCAGTCATCCTCCAACGGCGTTTTTTTCGCCCTTTTGCCATAGAGGTGCCCCGCGGCCCCCGCGGCCCCCGCGGCCCCGCGACAAGGAGCAGGGCCAGAAGTTACATCGCGAGAAGCAGGTGCCAAAGGTGAAATCTAGCAGCCTCGGTAGTTGCATGGCATGGGTGATGATCTCAGGTAGACTCAAAGAATAAAGCCCCATTTGATAGTTATAACAGTTATGTATATATATGTATATATAATTAATGCATTATAATGCCACCCCATTTCTGGTGATATTCGGACTCGTTCATTATCGAGTTTACCAAATAATATACTTACGTGGCTATGGGGCGATAGCCAACAATAGGGCTCTGTAGTCACTGATGAAGTGACACCAGGCCCGTATTTTGCCGATAAACAGTGCGGACCTCCTGGTGAATTCGCTGTTCTCCAAGGCTTGCGGATCAGATGGGGAGGCCCAAATGTCCCAAGAGCTTCAGAGATCCTCCCAGTGTCCCAGTGTACACAAATGGGATACCGCGATTCTCCCAAAAAATATCACAAGAAATTCTCTAGATTTTTTTCGATGCAATCCTCACATCCCATTTTTCGATGCCCCTAAGGGCCTATTCGATCCCTAGGTTCTGACCCCAAAAAAACGACCATCCTGCGCTTCCCCACGGCCCCAAAACCTCGCCCTGGGAGCTTGGAGGGAGACTCGCACCTGGCGCCGCCGTGGCCATGTCTTGGATGGCAATACTAAAGGCATACAGCTAAATGTGCTACAGTATATGTTTTGGTATTCAACAGTAGAAATATACTACACTTTTTTAAGAACAAGATATCATAATCAGAAGAACTAGAATAAAACACATCATAAAACAAGCATCATGACAATACAACTGTTCTTAGACTGTTCTTGAAAAGTTGATCAATTCCAAATCAGAAATGCTCGGCCGGACCTGGTCGTGAGAAGGATGGAAGGCCCAATGTCTCGTGCACCTCCTGCGATGAGACAGTCCAACTGAGGATTTCACAGACATGGTGGTAAAAAGACCATCAAACATGTGGCTTAAAAGCCCAAACACGATCAAAGGGGCAATACATTACCAAATGCTGGTACCATGATCTGGAATCATTGGAGTGGTTTCAAGGGTTTTGTACAGGAAACCTTAAAAAAAAGTGAGGAAAAAACCATGCTGTCCTGCAGATCTTCACTTTAATTTAGACACACAATGATAGAATGGTTTCAAGAATGTCAAGGGGGCGCCGGTAGAGGCTTCAAGCAACTAGTGCGAAAAGGATGTTCCAGAAAATAATGATTTGGTCAAGGATTGTGAAACGTCTTGCCTGGAATGATGATTCCTTACCTGGCTTTGTCTAGCTTTGATGCATTCCAAGCTGACCAGAACCATAAAATGGCTCGAAACTTCAGGGCATGTCACCCCGGACATGTTGGTCCTCGCTGTGACGCCATCTTCAAAAAAATGCATGTGGGTCATCCAGGAATGTATACGTGGCGCTACATACATATGTGTATGTATCTATACATATATAGATATACAGATCTACTTGTACATAGATATACATTGTACATAGAAAAAACATATACAACGTTGGATATTCCACATATATCTTGAGAACAACATCTTTCTTTACCCAGCTTCCCCCGGTCTCCCAGGGAAGGCAGAGCAGCTCGATGGGGCAGGCCTCCCCAGGTCGAGGATTCAGCCCAAGGTGGGACTCAGCCCCAGATAGACAAGTAAAATCATGTAAAAAAAATTAAAACAAAAACAAAATGTACAGAAATTATATATATATATATATTATATACATATATATATATATGAAATTCTCATAAAACATCATAAAACACTGTTCAACATCTATATATTGGATCTTGTTTGGGACTTGCTATTGCTGTCATGTTTTGATTTCGATGTGTTAAGTATCTGACCATCCTAAGTTGGGGTCGATGTTGAGCCACTCAGCCAAGTTGGGGTCGATGCCAACTTGTCTACTCCAGCCGAAGGTTTATCACATGGGATCCTTTTCCACTGAAAATGTTCACCAAAATATGTTGCCTGCGTCCGAGGGCCCCGAGGGACTTGATGTTGTACATCAAACCCTATTCACAAGTGGTGAATGAACCTACCAAAATTGCAGGCTTTAAGCAACAAGATTGTGGTGATACTGATACAACCAAATCAACCAAGAATCGTTGGACAAGGGGCTACTTCATGATCATCCATGGATTCAGAATTGGTGAGCAAAAATGCATTGAAGTGGGGTTGACACATGGAAACATCAACTAGTAGGTGCCTATTAACCTCTTCTTATCCAAGTACAAGTGGATTACAATGACCACTCAGAACCTGGGTAGCTGAGTACACCCCAGAACAATTGACATCTATGGTGGATCCCCAGTCGTAACCATGGCTGTTTCAATACTAAGTCATGGTCATCCATGACTGATTATGATTTGGGGATACCATTGGTACCATGACTTAGGAAATCTCCATAATATGCCATAACAAATGGTTTTTTGAATGACAACTCTGTTGATGATCCGTTGGGAGGCCGTTAAAATAACGGCCATCCGTTGGGTCGCACCTCAAAGAGACTTTGGACCAGGCCCAAGAAGGCACAGGTCACCGGATAGGCACCGGCCTCAGCGTTCATCAAACAACGAGTGGAGGCCTCAAGTTTTGCAGTTTTGCATCAAAAAACGATCGACCTGGGGGCGTTGGTGCCTGGAGTACCATGATGTATTGATATATCCTCTCGTCATCTGGCGACCTGTCATCCCCTCCGATGACCATTCCTGGGATGCTCGAGTCCAATGGCATTATCAAGAAAAAGATGTACATGCGGGGGGGGTCCATAAATCGGGGTACCCCAATACCCCAATAGCTGGATAATCCTATCAGAATCCATGAGAACTGGGGGTACCCTCATTTTAGGAAACCTTCATATGACATCTGACGCCCCCCACCTGTCGCTCAAGGTCCGACAGCCCTGCTGGACAGTGGGCTTCAGACATGGCCTTGTCTTTTTTAAGAGGTGGAGAACATCGCCATCTGAATATGGAAATGGTATGAAAATGCGAATTCACCAAAGATTTGGAGGCTACCCTATGTTCAGACCCACGTGGCCCAAGCACCTGAGGGAATGACGGGGCCCAAGCATTTTTCAAATTTCTGTTGGACCTCAAGTTCTCTTTCCAAGACTCAATCTTCACCAAGGATTCATGAACCCTCATGTTCAACAGCCCAGTCGTTCCTGCCCTCATCTCCACCAGATCAGCGGCAGAATGTGAACGCAGCCGGGGATGTGGAGCACCCTGGCCGTTCAGTGGTGGATTTCTTGGGCCCTCACGTCATCAGATCCAAAACTCATTCCCTGGTTTTTTGGGGTCGGGACCAAACCACCAAACGAAACAACCAGTTGGCCGTTAGCCGTTAGCCCAGCTGATTGCTAGTAACCTTAGTAACCCAACAAAAAATATGTTTGCCCAACTGAAATACATCATAGGGATGCGCGGTTCATACCCCTGAGAAGTCTGGTCCCTAAACTTGAGTTAGCCCAGCTTGAAAATAACCATGGAATGGGAAATATCAGAGATTTGTAGCTGATGTTCCTTTTAAATGATTTTCCAGCACACTAAGTTTGATTACTGAAGGGTGTGCCAGTCAAATCCCAATTGTTTGACCAGTTTCATCAGTTCAATACCTAATTTTGTTGCCAAACTCCATGTTGATGTCAAGTTTAGGAAAGCAGTAACATCAACCACCCTCTCAGGATACAAATCCAACCACGCTCCAGCAAATCGAAAAAAACTCGTGAACAATCATTCTATCATTAAAAAAAACAAACCTGATAACGACGAGTCCTTTAAATTAAGAAACCAACAAAAAAAAACAGAAACAAAATCCCAAAAGCACTTTTTTGTACACAACCCAATGCCATAAACTTACTGGTTGGTGGTATACCCAGTATTAACCACTATTAACCATCATTAACCATCATTAACCATCATTAACCCATCATTAACCATCATTAACCATCATTAATCATCAACAATGGAGATTTACAGTGGATTTAACCACTATTAACTATACTATTAACCACTATTAACTATGATTAACCCATCATTAACTCACCATTAACCCATCATTTGGGGCTGGTGAACCACTCCCCGGGCCTCCAGAAGGCGCCAGAGCGCCTGCCGCAGAGCCTTGGGCGCCCGCGCCAGCGCCCGCAGCAGCGGTGCCACGGAGCCGCGGGCCTGGTGGATTTTCCCATGAAAAGTGGTGGATCTTTCCATAACCAGAGGGTAGATATGTGGTTAATGATGGTTAATATTAAATGATCTGTTATCTATTGTATTATTAATGATGGTTAATCATTAATTATCTATATTAGATAATATATATATATATTATATACCCTCTGGTTATGACTAACATAGCCATGGTATAGATGGCCCGAATCGAAATAGATGGTTTACCGTTCTTAAAAATGTAAAAATGGTCGATCTTTCCATGGCTATGTTAAATAACCAGATGGTATATAATATACATTACAATATAGTATTATTGTATATATAAATGATATTAAATGAATATGAGACTAACTCACAGTGTTTTTGTTGGCGATTTCAATCCAATCAATTGTTGATTCAGAAAATCTGGGGGAATCTGGAGATTTTCAATACTGTCCAGTTCTAGATTTTTGTTAAGTGAATAACCTTGATATGTGTTCATGACATACGTTTACTCAGACTTCGGGGATGCACCTGGCTTTTATCCCAGAGGAAGTTCAGTGATCTTTCGTGGAATAATCCCTCCCAAAATGTGAAAATTTCCCGCCTGAGAAACATCCACACATCCAACCCCGAAACCTTGGGAAAAACACATTACACCTCCTCAGACCTCCCAAAAGCCAGTTTCTCCCAGCCTTTTGCAGTTGCAGATTAACAATTCGGAACTTGGAACTTGCCAAAATCCAATGGTCTACTGGTCCATAATCTTTTTGCCAGCTTTCAATGGCCACTGTTGGGTTCCCCGACAGACTCGTACGGAGCTAAGGTCAGCAGGGAGGACAACAGCCTGCACATTTTCTATGAGATCCCCCAAATTTCTGGATGATCCAGGGAAAATCACCAATCGTCTTCAGCAAGCCTAAGGAAAGTCACCCATAAATTGGGAAATCGTGCATAAATTATCATAAAATGTTAAAATTGTCCCCAAGAAATCCTAAGAAATCATTCATAAATCATCATAAATATCATGAATCTATAAGTTATATCAATGAGCAGGACATGATAAAATGATATGATCCATGAATAAGTTAATTAATGAGCGAAACACATCCAAGCTGGGAGGAAAATCATCCATGATGAACTCATCCATCAGTGACGTCAGTGACGTCTAGTCAAATGGTGCTTTCCGAAGTCATGGGGAACCCCCATTCATCCTCCATTTATAGAATTTATGGATGGATCTTCCATGAAATAAACCATCCAGCTTTTTTGGGGATACCTCCATTTTTAGATTGGGAGTTTCCCTGAAATGAACCATCCAGCGTTTTTGGGGTACCCCTATGGGTACACCCATGACTAGTCGGAAACCCCCAGTCATCTCCAGTGGGACGCCGGGATGAAAATCAAGGCCTGCCATACACCAAACCGTGGGGGCCATCAGCCCATACTTGTGGGCAGAGACCTGAAATTTTACGCGAACAAATGAATAATCAATATGTCATAATATATCAATATACAATCTCTATCAGGGGGAGCAATCAACGATGTTGGAATATCACCGCTTGTATTAGGAATGAAAACCACATGTAAGTTGGGATTGGGATTGGGAACAAGAACAAGAACAAGAACAAGAACAACAACAACAACAACAAGAAGAACAAGAACAAGAACAACAACAACGACAACAACAACAACAACACCAACAGCAACAGCAACCCCAGCAACCCCAGCAACCCCGGCAACACCGGCAACCCGAGCAACCCCGGCAACCACGGCAACCACGGCAACCACGGCAACCACGGCAACCACGGCAACCACGGCAACCACGGCAACCACGGCAACCGCAGCACACACGGCAACCACGGCAACCACGGCAACCGCGGCAACCGCGGCAACCGCGGCAACCGCGGCAACCGCGGCAACCGCGGCAACCGCGGCAACCACGGCAACCACGGCAACCCCGGCAACCCCGGCAACCACGGCAACCACGGCAACCGCAGCAACCACGGCAACCACAGCAACGACAGCAACCACAACAGCCATAACAACAACATCAACAACATCAACTTGGAGGAAGTCATGATCAATACCAAACATGACCAAAATCTCCAGACAGTATGTACTCTTATGTTTCTTAGGGGTTTGACATTTCGCACCACTCCATGGTTTTTCTCAGCTGGCTGCACCTCGCAGCCATGCCATAGTAGCTGCCCTTCTCCTCCTCTGGCAAGTCCTCTCATGGGAGCGGCTTTTGGTGGAGTTCCACCCTAAAAGATATCGGCCAACAATGATGTATACCACCATCTATGGCCAAACTATTTTTAAGATGGAGAATAGATACATGATTAATAAATGATAATAAATGTATCATTATGAATCTATGAACTATGAAGATGATCTTGATACACCCCAAATTTTAAGATATCCCTCAATTTTCAAAGATGCTAAACCATTGGATTTGAGGTGACGAAACCATTGGTTCAATTGTTTCCCAAGCTTCATACGGCTCACCCCAGCGCCTTCAAGAAGTCTTCCAAGGTTTTGGGCTTCAGCACTTGGGAAAAACACCTGGCGAATCGCCGCCGGGAAATGTGCCAATGATTGCACCCCAAGATTGATGTATTTGGCTGCTTCCAAAGTTTGTAAATTTGGGTAAATGTGGGTAAATTTGGATGCATTTCGTTGTTTCTAAACCCGTGTCCGCTAGTTCTTGAATCGCCCTATGGCTTGAAACCGCCCAAGAAATCCACAGTTCCACTGGCTCAACTGGAGCCTTACGATTTGTTTCAGCAGCTCCAAATCCTCTGGGCGCAGTTCGCGCCGACCTCGGACTCGACCGGAAACCGATAGGTTTAAGGATGAAAAGGTTGGTTTTCTGCAAGAAGGTCCTTAGTTCTAACCCAAATCCATCCATTCGTGGTTTCAACTCCCCTGAGAAACTATGAAAGTCAAGTCGGGGTCACAATCATCATCCACTTTGGGAACAAATGAAACCAATCTGCGAGGAATAAAAATATCTTCCTTTCAGAGAGCTCGAGCAGCCAGCGGCTAAACTTGGGAGATACGGTCCACGTCTCGTGATGTCCGACGATTTTACTGCAGTTCAGAATCAGAAACCCCTTTTTTTGTCACCTAAACAAATCGAGACAAGCCTAGTTGGGTATGCCTCAAAATTCTGGAACCCGAAAACTGGAGGCTTTGTTGCCGCAACAGAGCAATACTCTGGGGTCCATTGGTAACCCATGTTTGAGCAGCCATGCCCTCTCAAAGTGAAAACAACTAATTTGTAGCGTCGCTCATGTCAAGGGACACCCCCATTCACTCCTAAAGATTATGTAGCGTGAACGCGTGAACCTCTAGAAAAGGGTGTGGAAAATGAATTTGTCTGTTGGAATGTGTCCCATTTGTTGGTTTCCATGGTAGCTTTTATGGTGGTCACCATCAGAATTCCTGCCATGGGAATTCAACTAGCCTCTCGAAAGGTGACCCCCCCAATCAATCAATCAATCGATCGATCGATCGATCAATCAATCAATCAATCAATCAAATCAATCAATCAATCAATCAATCGATCGATCGATCGATCAATCAATCAATCAATCAATATATATATAATATATATATACACTATATATATATACACTACATATATATAATTATATATATACACTATTTATATATATATATACATATACACTATATATATATATATACTGTATACAGTGTGTATATATATATATACGCAATACGTACATGTGTGTAAAGTGTATATAGTTGGGGCAGCTTGGGAGGGTGCTTGAATGCCCGAATCATCACCTCCGCCAACTGTTTCGCCGCTCTCTCGGCTCGCGTCGCGAAGCCAATCAGGGCAGGATCGCGCGATAGAAGCTCGCTGCCCCGCAGACTCGCGTAGCTGGCCCAAGAGCTGTCACCGGGTGGTGAGACATCGGTCATTGTCTGGACAGGCGGGATGATACGTTAGGTCACATCGAAACACATATGTATTATGTATTAATATAATATGTATATATATATTATAGATACATAGCTGTATGTTGTCACCTATGTACGTTGTCATTTCATGGCCATGACCAGAGCACAAAAATGACCCTAAGGCTGTCCCGTATTTTCTGCGACAGCCGCCAAAAAGAGATTTCTTCACATTCGCACATCTCAGATGGTGTAGTCGGGCTTCGCAGGGTAGGTGCATCCTGCGGATTGCTGGGTGAACCGGTGAACCTGAGGCTACAGCTATTCACTTCAGATTTTCGCCGGCGACTTTGGGGGCAAGAAAAATATGGGGGACGTGGAGATGCGACCAGCAAAGCCAACTCGACATCAGCTGGTGATTCAGCCACCCGATCCTGAGATCGCGTCGCGACACGCTTCTTCGGATTCGGGTTCCTTGTTCCACTTATCTGGTCACTACGGTTGCCTTTGTACATGGTCATCACTATAAGTAAATTTTGCCTTCCCCTAGAGTTGCCATACTTACAGAACCAATCAAAGCTTGATTCAAAGTGCTGATATTGACAGGAATCTATTCAATTCCGCCGCTTTGCTGTGGAAACCTTTGTCAATCAGTCTTGTCCCCACAAGGCATTCCTGGGCATATGTGGGCCAGCTGTAAATTTGAGAAAGAGTTTTTTTTCACCCATGCCAAACCCGCCATTTCTGTGGCTTTTTTCACAATTTACCCTCTGGTAATCAAACATGGCTGTGGAGAATCCCTTTATAGATGATGTTCGACAAAAAAACCTCCGTTCACAGGGAATTTCCCAGCCATGTTCAGTCTTCCCAATCAAAAATGCTAGCTACCCCAAAACTAGGTCTGAAAATTGCTTCCAGGAAAATCGTTTACGGACATGTTGACCCAGCAATTCATGGAGCCAGATTCAGCTAAGAGGTTTCCTGAAAAAATAAATCGTTGGAAAGTCAACGGACAAGTCGCTACATCACCCCTCAGTCACCTTGGAAAGACGCAATCTTTCTAGTTGAGCCATCCAACTGGGGGGTGCAACCCTGAACTAATCATCGATCGGGAAAATCCAAAGTTATCGTATTACGAAACCCAGAAATCAACAGTTTTTCCACATACTATGAGTCAAAACCCTGGGACCCTTGGTACGAAAATTGCTTGTGACCATGGGTGTTTATTCCCCCAGTCATATGGTGACTACCTGGGTAACTCGACCCATGTAATCCTGAAGCGTTTTCCGTGGATCCGATGGCTCCCGTGTCGTCCTGAGTGCTGGATCACCACGGAGGCGGAGTAAGTTCCAGCTTTGCAGCAGGCCTCCCAGGCTTCGGGGGCTGGTGTGGCAGCAAAAAATGGAAATGGGGGGATCGATAGCACCAAAGAATGAGATGTAATGGGAGTAGAATGAGGATGTAACGGGAAATCTAAGCAGCAAAGATGGGATCATGAGATACTATGAGAATCTATGAGATACTGTAAGTGGCATCTGAGCATTTGACTTTGATTTTCGGACTCCCCAAAAGACACGCTATGAGGGTCCAGGGGTACAGAAAAGATGCGACGTTCGCTGTTTTGCCAAAGTCTCCAGGCCAAGTTTGCCAGACATGCGTCATTTGTCAAGATTTTCCTGCACTTATTGGTATGGATCAGTTCACCCTGGATTCGCCTCACATCAAAACAACTTGTCTTCCTGGATGTTCAGAAAAGAGAGAGAGAGAGAGAGATTGAGAAACTGGGCTTGGGGTGTAGTTCCAATTAGAATCGAATATGTACCCATAGTTGTATAGGGGTTACATCACAACTCATGGAGGTTATTACCATGCGTACAACAATAACCCCAAAACTCCCACAAGTATATCTTGAGTCCTTCCATCCCACTATATCTTCGCTATGTCCTTAAAACAAAAACCATGAACATCCATTGCCCTCCGGTAATCAACCGTGGCAAAGGAGAATCCACCATTTATCATTAAATCCCCATTGAATCCCATGAAATCCCCATGAAATCCCCATGAAATTCATGACCCATCCCATCGGTGCACCTCCATGTCCTTGCCCTTGGACAAAGCCGCCAGGAAACCTCCCACGAATGCATCCCCTGCGCCGTTGGTGTCCACCAATTTCTCCTGGTTCCCAGTGGCCCATAGTGGCCCCGTGGTGCCAGAGGAAATCTTGGAGATCTTGGAGCTGGGAGGCTGTCATGTCACTTGTTGAAATATGCCTAGTGAAATGGAGAGATGTTGGGAAGTGGGATCTTTTCCGTCTCGTTTTTGAAGGGAAAACATATATATCTCATATATCGGACATATCGTGGAAGTGGGATGCTTTCATGCTACTCTGACTGTTGCCTCACTAGGGGGTCGTTGTTCCCTCAGCAACCAGCAATGGTGTTGACTGAGGGGAAGTTCCTGAGCCCCAAAAAACTCTCTGAGTTCCTACATTCCAAAATCCACATGGCTCAAAAATCAGGAAACCCAAAGGACTGGGTGTTTTCCTTGAAAAATGACCATCAGCAAAACATCAGTCCCTGATCTCAAATGATGTGTGGTTCAAGCTCCTATCCAAAATTGGGGCGATTTGGTGTATTCCACTTTGTTTGGTGTTCAACCCCTTTTCTAAATCACTCAAATGGTGCCATGAATCAAACATTCGCCCCACCACTCACCCAGCTCACAGGCTGCTTCCACCCTCCTTGGGCAGAGCAGCAACCGGGTACTTCTTCACCTGAAACCACGGGACGGACTCCATGCAACTGGTTGGTCGCTTCATCTGAACAACATGCGTCAGCATCCGTGTTTCAACCATATTTTTTTTGCAACCACCACCCACAAAAAAGGAAAGGTTTGTCACTACTGGTTTTTAACAGAATTTATATTTGATCTGAATGATTTAAAGACATACTGGAGAATCCAAAAAAAACTAAAACCCATAAGGCCCATAATCAAGTCACATGCAGGTATGGTCCACAGATGTTGGTCATGTTTGGTATTAACCATCCAATTTCATGGAAATAAACAGTTTGACTCAACCCCATCATAATACCCATATTAGAGGGAAAAAAAAAACATCATGAAATAGCATCATCCAATATATCAAAATCAAATGTCAAATCTCAAAATCATGGTTGAGATTCATGGATGATATGGCAGTGTGTCAAAACCTTGTACCCCTGGTGAACATCAAAATAGCTGGTAAATGGATGTTCATCCCCCTAAAAATGGTATTAATAGGTATTGATCCATACCCATATTCATGAAATCTCCATCTCAAACATCGAAAAATCCATGGCCTCGCCACGAATGGCCACCACGGTAGGATCAGCGCCCTGGGTAATCACCACCTTCCTGTAGGGCTTGTTGCCTGCCGTGGAAAAAAAACAAACAATCAATGGATTGGCTGAAAGGAAAATCGATGGTGGGTTCCATAAAGATTGATGGGAAAACCCCCATATTTCATGAGAAAAAAAAAACATATTTCATGGGGAAATCGATGGTCTCCCCCAACTAAACCAATCCAATAGTGGTTTCTTCCCGGTTTTCACTGAAGAAACGTCGAGGTAATTAAGTGAGTTTAACAAAAAAAAGATGGTGATTCAACCAATCTTTTTCGAGAGTTTGAGCAACCAAAATGCAGGATTGAAGAATACGAAAAACATACGAGAAGGCTGGCTTGAAATTATAGTTCGTACAATATATTCATCAATGGGACAACTACCATGGACTACTGGTTGGTGGTTTCAAACATGTTTTATTTTCCATCATATTGTTGGGATGTCATCCTTCCCATTGACTCATATTTTTCAGAGGGGTAGGTCAACCACCATGGATTTTCCTATGATAATCCCGTAATGTTCCTGGTAGCTTTGTGGAATTTCCACAGGGGGATGAGGGGATGTGGCAATCCGGCAGCGTTGTGCAGGACGATTTTCACCATAAGTCCATATAATTCCAATGAAACTTAGGGCAGAAACAACCCCATGTTCAACCATGTTCGTGGGTTTTTTTCTGACCACGAAAAGTTCCTCCTAAGAACCAACTTGATAGTCTCATCCTATTCATCCACGGACGCGAGAGGAGTATGTTAAGGTGCTTCTTCCACTTTCCGTTCCGCTATATAGATTCTCTGAATTTGCATTGAAGATGTGCCGTTGCTGGTGGCAAGTTCTTGCTACATGTTCTGGCTGATACCTTGGCTCTAGTCTTTTTGGGTCAGCAAACGTTGCAGTTTATAGCCACTGGAACAAAGCTGTATTGATAAAATGTCAATTCTCATGATTGGTCAATACAAGAGACAGATGGACGGTCACAGCAATGAAAATGGCAGGTACCGTTTGCTTGTTTTAGGTGGTACTCTTGTTTGCAGAAAACGCTTGTGTCAGAATTCCACAAAAACACATGGATTGCGAAGACAAGATCGAGACGGAGAACGTCCATGTCATTAATTGTGTGTTCTTCGTAACATCAATGTCAACATCAATGTCATTGAAAGCCAAGAGACCTGGGAGCACTTTTCTGACCTTTATTGAACAGGAATTTACGTTCTATTGGTTTGGGGGTTACTAAGGTTACTACGTTTATTGGCATTATATATATATATACACATATATATATATATTTATTTATTTGTTTATTTATATACCCTCTTGTAAACTGTCACATAACTATGGAAAGATCCACCATTTTCAATGGGAAAATCCACTAGTTCGACTGGGTCATTTTCAATAGCTATGTAACAAATCACCAGAGGGTATACATAATTATCTCCCCGTTTGGATAAATCATTCGCCAATTCCCCCAGCATAAAAGTCCGGCTGGGCCTGCCATGGGCACCAAGGACAAACGGGTGGCAATGAACTCCACGTCCTGCGAAGAGCGGACCACATCTTCGGCCCCAAAAGCCCAAAACGTGGTACAAAACGAGCCGTTTTTGTTGTTGAATCGTAGGATATCATTGGATCATATTGGATCTATACTAAGAAATCATAGAATGGGATGTAATGACACATACTATAGGATATGGATGGATATGGAATGTAGCCAACAATGTGTGGCTTCTAAAACAACCGGATCCAGGGATAGCCCTTGGATCCTGTAGGGAAAGGGTACCATACCCAAGTCACCAAACAGTAGACCTAATCCACTAATCCACAATGCCAGGCTTGTATCCAAGTCTGCTTGCAGTTTTACTGGGAAAATGAGGTTTGTCTGAAAATAGGGTGTATTCCCAATTATAGCCATTTAATAGGGATTATGATCAGCAAAACCATTGGCTTTAGGGGTACACTATTTTCAGAGACACCCAAATGAGGTTTTAAACCCACTTTACCCTCTGGTGAACTAACATAGCAATGGAAAATGGCCATTTATAGTGGATTTTCCCATTAAAAATGGTGATTTTCCATTGCTATGTTAGTTCACCAGAGGGTAAGTTTGTGTGATACTTCTGGGCAAACCCATAGCGAAGGAATCCAAAGCCATCTCGTATTCAGCTCTCGCAAACGTCTCCTTCTCGGCAGCTTCACCACTACTTTCGCTGTCTGAAATCTCACTTTTGTTGGCTGAAATCTCACTCTTGTTGGCTGAGTTGAAATCACATGTTCATCAAAGTTTAAATGTTCTTGGTCAAAATGGAAATTCCAAGTTCCTTGGACTTTTCTCACTGAAATGTTCGTTGATTTCCACCCTCCACTTGGTGTCTTCCCATGTTTTCGCGCCTGGGTGTCCCAGCCAACTGCCTCAGCATAGGCACAGGCCTCCGTCTCGTTGCCGAAGAGGTAGTCGCCTGGGCAAAGACATGCGGATTTCATAGGATGTTAGCCAACAATAGGGATTTAATTGCATTTGATGGGATTTAACCAACAAAAATTTGGATGTCATGGGATTTAATGGGATTTTAACTATCAACAATAGGGATTTAATGAGATTTCATGGGGAATGTCATCACCGAACATAATAGTGAATGGATTGGTTCAAGGGAAAATATGCAGGAAACTCATTCGCTTTTACCAGCAAAGATAGAGGTTTCTTGCAGATGTTCCGTCTCATTCTGGATAAACAATGGATGTTGAATGGATAAAACAAGAAATTCAATGGCAAAACATTAGGTTCTTGATAGATTTTGACCAGCTCTAACGTAGATTTCATTGGATGCGGGTGGATCTGGCCCCTGCAAAATGGATATTGTATGTCACCCGCAAATTATAGGGATGTTCGCTGCAACAACCAGGGATTTGAACGTCAGAAATGTGGAGATTGACCCAGAAACACGGCTAAAAATTGGGACTTCAACCATGGATTCCGTCCTCTGTTCTGAGCAACTTGACCAAGCCCGGGTCTCCCGGCACAGGGGCAGGGTCTTCTCAATCACTGCGCGGAAGGGTGGCACTTGCACGATGAAGGGCGCCGACAGATTCATGCCTTGGACGTCATTCCACAGTGGGATGATTTGGATGGCCAATTTTTTCGATGTTCAACTTCTGTGAAGGAGTTTGCTTTTGAAATATTTGAGATCAACTTGGGATTCTGGCTACCGCCTCAAGTTGGATTTACAGCATTCAAAGAAGTCCACAAAATCATGATTTTGGCATATCCAGGCTATGTAGCTGCTTCGGACTCCAATTCCCAGGCATTTATCCACTACAGAAATGGCAACATTCATCGCGCTTCGGAACCATCCAAAAAGAATCATTGGTTCCTGGTCCCTGGTCGCTTCTTAAAAAGAAGAGCCCTTGTTTGAAATATCCTGCATATGTAAGCGCCACTCAATCCGGATCAGACATCAAAATCCCCCAGACTCTACAACGAATTGCTGCAGTTGTTCTTGACATTTCTCAAATCAGCTCCATCATTTAACAACCAGAGTTCATCACATTTAATGGCATTTGAGATCACATGTCCCAGTTTCAACATGGCTCCCCTAAATCACAAGCAGAGAGGCAGTAGATGCCACCGGTCTTCAACATCTCATTGGAGGCAATCCTCAGAGGCTGTGATAAATCACTGGATTCGTTGAAGGGAAATTCTATGGAAAACCCATGGGAGTTTTCCCCATGAAATCCCGTGAAACATTGTCCCTTAAAGCAACAAACGATTGAACCTGTTTTTTTCGCCAGTGACCATTCATTTCTTGATGTTGATCAACTTTGACCCAGACCCAAGTCACCCCAGGCCGCCAAGGCCATTGAAAAGTTGGGAAAGTTATGATCAACTGATCAACCATGGCTTTTGGGAAGTACACTATTTTGAGCCAAAGCCTTACCAAAAATGGGGGGATCCTATGAGTTTTTTTGTGTTCTGTCATCAAATCTGCTGAGACTCTCATGTCTTCGCGTTCAAAATTGCGGAAAAGATCCCATTGGTTCTGTTTCCAGCAGACCACGATGGGTATGGAGATCGTGCCAACTGGATGAAATCATCACTTTGCCAGGTTTTCTGTGCCACTCCCCTTACCAAACGACCCTCACTTTTAATTGGGGTCAGTTCACCCCAAGAAATAGAGAGTGGTTGGAAATGGGTGGCCGTTTTTCCACGTAAGACAATCAGAACTGTTTAATAAGTGTATGAGGCTTTGGTGAAAGTGGGGGCAACTGGATTAAACCAACCTCACTTACAACATCTTGCAACTGGGAGCTTCATCCAGTTATACTATACAACTAAAAACTCCTATAAGTTTCATCCAGTTCTAGTAATCAGTTGTAATTATACTTGAGGCTCAGGGGTAAGGGAAGAAAGCAAGCTTGGCAGGGAGCTTGGCATGAAAATGAGGATGCGGATGATGCCGAATTTGCTGCCGGCGACATGCCGACTGTCCCCGGGAGAGATTGAGCCACGGCCAAGCCAAACTGCTTGTGAACCAGCCAGCCGGGGGGAGGTGGGGTGTAGTTAACTATGATGTTGTCTTTGCGATTGGAGATTCCAGCCACCCCCAATACCTTGCTAAAGAGGGACGTCAGCTAGCAGAAGCTAGCTTCCGTGATATACGACCCCATCCCGCTGTAAAGCGTCTCCATGGACTCTGGCGACACCGTGATGAAGAAGCCGGCGCTGTACACAATCTTGGCCGCCGAGAGGGTGGCCATGTTGGCTTTCAGGTGATCCGCCTGGGCTGGGCAGCGACTGGAAAACTTCGCCATTTTTCAGCCCTGGAAAAACCTCGGGCAACGGGCGACTAAAAGAAAGGTCTGACGGAGAAAATCCAGTACCAAAGAAAAATGGTTGAACAGTTTAGGATCGGTTCAGATCATCATTTTCCCCATGAGAAGATTGTAAGATTGCCATAAATTGGGGGATGATCTCCCAATTTCGGACCCAGAAAGCTGCCACAAAACGTGCCTTGTAGTTGTTGGCGGCGTTCAGATTGGTGGTGAGCGAGCGCTCCTGGAGGCTTCGTTGTCTCCATGGTGACACATGGTGACACAAATGAGTGAATCAAGGGATTTCTTCAAGCGGAAAGAAAATTGATTTGGAATTTTGGGTTCCTCCGGGTTTTTCCCTGACCAATGGTAAAACATTGGTGATAAATCAAGAGATGCACGGAAAAACACCCCAGTCGAAAAGAGTCTATGAGTTTTTCGGGATCATCCCAAAGGAATATACACCGATCTGAAAAAACGATCCAGATCTTAGAAGTGGAAAGTTGACCTCTGAGGTCTTGAAGCTGATCAAGTAATCCCATCCCCCTTTGTTTTGAATGGCGGATTTATGGTTCCAAAATGAATAAATCCAAAACTAAAGCAGCAAGAGTCGCCAAGCAATCCCCCTGACCTTGTTCATGATGGTGACGGCGCAAGCACCCGTGGGCGTCGTCTTGTCGATCATGTACTTGCAGTCCACACCATCCTGGAAGCCCAGCACAGTACACGAAACCTGTGCGGCTAGGTATGTGGTTACAGTTGAGTGGTGAAATAGTTTAGGATTTGACCGAAATTTGTTGTGCGAGCATTGCACATGGGGGACTGGAATGACTAGAATGACTACAATGACTAAAACGGCTAGAAATACAACCCTCTTTCAATTCGAAGCTGAAGCCGGCCCCTCATCCCATATCATTCCAAGATCTCAGCAGACCCCGGGGCCCCATGCCGACCTTCTTGCAGGCATCGGTGAGCTTCTTGCCAAACTCATCATCGCCAATGCAGCCCATGTAGGCCGTCTTGCCTGGCTCCTGCAGCTCGCATCCCCCATCCTTCACGAGATGCCCACAGGAAAATCGTCCAAATCCCGTTCTTTCGGGGTTTAAAAAAAATACCTGACCTGAATGACTAGAGATGGAAGATTGGCACTGACCTGTTCTGAACGATTAAACGAGACTCGAAATATCCACCAACGAATCGAAGTTCGATTCCAGTCGAAATTGTTATCGAATTGGATGTCAAAGCTAAATATGCCAGCAAACAAACAGATCATGAAATATCTGTATGTCCCTTGACGGTCAACAATCGAACTGGAAACCATCCATCTTTACCCTGCTCTGGGTTACACTACCAGTGGGCCCCAGACCTGCAACATCCACTGTGCCACACGGATGGTGTTCTGGGTGGCACCGCCCGCCACGTACAGCACCTTGGTCACAACTTACGGGTCATACACCCCGAAATAAACATAGACCTTGCCACGACGTGGGGGTTGGAAGATTACCTTCTTCTCAAGAATACTGATTCTCAGGGTGTACGTTAGTTTGGGGGCTAAAAAAAACAAAAATAACGTTTCCATGTTTGGGGAAACCGAATTTTAAACCATCCCAAATTGATGCACCCCCAGCTATACAAGGAACATCCATGGATTCGATGTTTGATTCGATGCTGGCAAACTAGCTTAGCTGCAAATGGTCTTCCAAACTCTAAACATATCCCAAGTAGTGGAAATGGTGATCATCATGATCATAACCATTGTAATTGTTTCCATGCGCAGCAGTGTTTTGATTGATCATCATGATGGTTATTGGTAAAGTGTGCAAAATTCTGCATATTTCTTCATGTGCACCATTGAACAAAACCGCCATCGTAATTACTCGTTATCATCATTACGGGTTTGTTGATTCGCATCATCAGCAAAACCTCGAGCCATGGATGTCCATTTCTGTCCAAAACGATCACTCCTTGGATGTCGGAGCGTTTTTGTGGTTGATAATCCATAACCTATATTAGATCCCATATATGTTATATCAAATTCCATATATATACCATATACAGTATTATATACCATATATACCATATATACCATATATACCATATATACCATATATACCATATATACCATATATATCATATATACCATATATACCATATATACCATATATACCATATAATATATATATATATATATATTTCATATTATATTCCATATACAGTAAACCGATTCGTAGGGCCTGCAGAACCCAAGGCACGTCCGGCTTGGCAGCCAACTCCTTGAAGAGCGGCTGGTGCTTCTCCTCCGCCAGGATGGCGTTGCCGGGGATCAAGCCGTACTTGTCGAAGGTCTCCTGGGGAAAGATCTGGGCGGAGATGAAATTCTGGAATTTTAAGATGTGTAGATATATGATATATGTGTATATATGTACATATATATATATATGTCTATATGTATATATTATAATATGTATAATATTATATATATATTATATTATTATATACATATATATATATATACATATATATATATATATATGCATATTATTCTTATTAATATATATATATATAAATATATATATATATTATAATATATATATATACACATATACACGTATATACATATATACATATATACATGTATACATATATACATATATACATATATACATTTTTACATATATACATACATACATATATACATATATACATATATACATGTATACATATATACATATTTACATATATACATATATACATATATACATATATACATATGTACATATTTACATATATACATATATACATATATACATATATACATGTATACATATATACATATATACATATATACATATATACATTTATACATATATACATATATACATATATACATATATACATATAATATGCAATATTACATTAATATTTATATTCATATTTAAATTCATATGTATATGTATATATATGTATATATGTATATGTACATGTTACATGTACATGTATATGTATATGTATATGTAAATTATATTATATATTGTATTATACTATATTATATATATCATTATATTTTATTATAGTGTATTTTTATAGTATATTTTGTTATACTATATATTATATACATGATATATATAATAAAAATTATATATTATATACGTGATATATATAATAAAAATTATATATTATATACGTGATATATATAATAAACATTATACATTATACACATTATATATTATATACACTGTATACATTATATATTATATACATTATATATTATATACATTATATTATATCCACTATATATAATATACATTATATATTATATACATTATATATTATATACATTATAGATTATATACATTATATATTATATACATTATATATTATATCCACTATATATATTATACATTATACATTTTGCATTTTATATTATATATATATATATTATATATTATGTTATATATTATATTATGTATATCATATAATGTATTATATCATGTATGCATATCTGCGGGTGCGTTGATGTCATGATGTGTATAAATCTAACTAAATCTATATATATATATGTTTATACATGATTGCAAATAATTGCATCAAATTGCAAAATCCGCTGACCCTGGCCTGAAGGAGGGGAGCGCGTCAGAAGACCTTCTGAGAAGCAAGGGGAAGAGAAAGAAGCAAAACAGGCACATGAGGCAAGAAGAGGAACATGAAGAACAGGCACATGAAGCGAGAGCAGGAACAAGAAGCAAGAACATCAAGCGACAAGAGCAAGAAGCCTCTACAAGAACTCAAGAGGCAAGGGCAAAAAGCAGAAGAAATGCCAAGCAAGAACAGGGTTGTTTCAACGTGGGCAAGGGCACGGTTTCCTGGTACCACAACATTGTTTCTTAGCCCCCAAATTGCAAATTCTGACTACAATTCAGAATTGTCTTGATGGAAGCCTTTATACAGTAACCTCCAAATTGCTGACTCTGAGCTGGAGTAGCCGTATTTTTTTTTTCGGATTCCGACAAGACTTGCCTTGACGGAAGTCTATACCCTGCAAACTCTGAGCTGGTGCCAGCCAGGTCTCACACCCCTTTGCGGCATGGTCTGCGAAGCTCTACGTATAATTGTAATTTCACGTGCACAAACCTAAGCAATTACCAGTATATATAAATGTATGTATGTATATATAATTATATATATATATATCAAGAAAACATTCCAGCGGCGAGAAAACCACCCCCTCTGTCTACCCAAGGGTCGTCCACCCCATAGTACCCCATCCAGTCTCCTGCGTCACTTCCGCAGAGATGTCAAGCAGAGGGTTGCCCATGCCGAGGATCACCGCCATGACTGTCGAGCGTTGGTTTTACTGAGCGAGGCGAACGTGAGATCTCTAGAAAATCTGAGCCGCAAAAGATGCAAAAGGGAGAGGAGCTGGAATACCAAGCCGAACAGGTCGTGGTCTTCTTCTCCTGTTCTTCTTATTCTTCTTCGTCTTCATCTTCTTCTTCTTCTTCTTCGTCTTCTTCTTCTTCTTCTTTTTCTTCTTCTTTGTCGTCATCATCATCATCACCATCATCATCATCATCTGAAATCATTTACTGTCACCATCACAATCGAGTTATTAGAATGTTTGTTGATGGTCATCAACAATATTGACAGCACCTTGCCACCGCTGATCTTTCATGCTGATCAGACAAATCTCCGGTGAAATCGGGCAGTCAAAAAATGCCACCTACGCATGAGTCAAAAAAGAAAAAGAATCTAAAAGCCACATGGTAACATGGTACCCTGCATGTGAGTTCCTTCATACAAAAAGATTTTTTGGTTGCTTTTTAGCAATAGTGAACTAGCAAACCATCCCCAATGGCTAACCATTTCTATGGCTATATCAACCATCACCCCATTTCTGGCTGGTCATGGTGCCATAAGGTCACCACCTTGGTGACCCTTGGGGCCACCCGACTCAGCAACGCATCCCATGCACAGACCGAGATTCTCCACAGGCTGACCTCGGCTCACTCGGAGATGATCCTCACTGGACCTTCAACAAATGGCTACCCTCTGGTAATTCAAGAAAGCTATTGAAAATGGCCATTTATAGTGAGTTTTCCCATTAAAAATGGTGATTTTCCATAGTTATGTTAGTTTACCAATGGCTAGTTTAATCAGATTAAACCACTATTGATCCGGCCCAACAGGGGAAATTAACACACAAGAAGGAAAGCAGATTAATTATGTTATGTTATGTAAAACTCTATCTGATAGCAACTGTTTGAAAATCTGTGAAAAGGCAGTTGGGATTTGCATACTTGCTGATTTACACTTGAGATTTGCTGGCGGTAACTATCAACATTTGTAGCAATGCCACGTAGTTCGACACATTTCCGTGAGGAATCATCAAAAAACAAAGGGAACAGAAGCAAAAGCAATCAATTGGAACACAGTATATATCAGCATATTGTGTGGATGGGTTCACATTTACTCATCGCTTCAATGTCTTGATTTCGATTTTCTCTCCATGGACCTCAAAAAGTCGCCGTCTTGGGCCATGGACACCAGGCGGAAGCATCCACTGTACCTGTTGGCAAACGCAGCACCCAAGGCCCCAAGGCCCCAAGGCCCCAAGGCCCCAAGGCCCCAAGATCCAGCTTGGCCCAGCGTCGCGGCCCGTCCTCGCAGCCTTTTCGAAAAATCACAGCGGTGCCCCAGGTCCCAGCGGTGCGGTGCTCACCGGTGAGGTGAAAGTCCTGCTGGATCAGCGGGGATCATCATCAAATGGATCGAAACCATGGAAACAACATCAACCAGCATCGTTTTGAACCCAACCAGCAACCATTTGACATATATATGTATATATATATATTGTGTAATAGAATGTGTAAGATGCAAAACAAGAGAGAGAGAGAGAGAGATATATATATATACACATCATATCTCAATCTAACGATCCAACTTGTCCCCTCTGCACGCCAGAGCGCTGCCTCGGGCTCGGGCCTCAAAGGAGCTCGGGTTTGTTGAAGTAGATCCAAAACAGCACGGCGGGGCCCAGGCCTTGGAGCGAAAAAATCATGCGATCTGGAAAAAAAGATGGGATATCTGTAGATATATATATACAGTTAATCTAGATTATTACTGGTTAATACTGGTATTGTGATAGATATATCTAGAATCATCGAGATATCCATGATCAATCTATATGCATACCACCAACAATGCCAGATACCAGTAATATGTGAATTAATATCAATGTATATCCCCAGTATTCCCCAGTGTTGTAAACACAGTATGCAATCAATTATCCCCAAGATAACCATGTTTTATGGGTGTTATGGTTACCATCCCCAGTGATGGTAGTTCTTTATGGCAGCCAGGCTTTCCCACACTATCGCAATTTGATGATGATGTACTCAATTATTGATGAGAAAGGGATGTTGTTAAATATTCATGAAAGCCATTTTTGATGATATTTCCAAGTATTGCTGATGATTGCAAAAAACATGTGGGAGTCACCCAATGCCATTTAAAAAAAACACAAAAAACCTCCCCAGGAACTTACGATAGGTTGGTAATCTCATCCCCAAATGCTCGTTCTTTATGCCATTGGAAACACTCTCATGAGGCTGATCCACGAGCGCCGAAAGATCGGCCACCCGGCTGATGATGAAAATCGCCCAGCCCAGTTGCAACAAGGCATAGCCTACAGCACACCCGGGATGATCTTCCGAGCACAGAGGGATCCAAAGATATCCAGATTGGAATCCAACTAATATTGGTTTGTGTGTTGGAAATATTGTTGGAATATCTTGGAATCCCATGAAAACATGCCCATTGAAAAATGGGATTCCGACATATTCCAAACATATTGGGCATCTAAAAGCACTCGGATTTTCGGGAAGATGAGCCACTTCGGTGAGGACATCCCAAGTCTCCAGCCCGAATTGCCGGCGTGAGCTACCTGCGCCGCAGGATGGAAAGGTGGCTCATAGAGAGAGAGAGAGGGAGAGAGAGAGAGAGAGACACAGAGAGAGAGAGAGAGAGTGTGTCATAATACTCACACACGCATGAAACGATGTCAAAAAGCTTTGTCTTATTCCCAAACAGCATTGGAAACAGGTGACCCATCCATTCCCACATGAAATCCCACAAGAACTGACCTCTTTTCACGCAACAACTCATGCTTCAAACAAAGGGTCGCAAGTGTGACAGACGGATCTGCGGCACAGCCTGCAACGCAAACTGGAAACCTCTGCAGCTAACTTAGCTCGGCCCTGAAACGCGCAGCACTTCCAGTCCAAGCAAAAGCAGACTACAATGGCATCAGCTTCGCGATTCAAGAAGAGTTGCAAAACACGCTCTGGCTTCCTCTCAAGAGGCTTCAAATCAGAAATGTAACGAAGGCTTGGAGACGAAAAGCTCAACCACTGACGCCATGACTTCAAAGATGGTATTCTGCATTGTCCGTAGTCGTTCACTCCGCAAGCAACTGCACAGCCACCACTTCGGAGAAGCACTGTATGACCACCACCTGCAGAAACATTGGTGTATATGTGTGAAACTTTACTAGTGAACTACCCCCAAATGAGTAGCGCACGTGGACGGGCACTGAGTGAACAGCGCCGCCACCCAATCCACAGAGCAAAAAAGCCCTGAACAAATACCAAAAGACCCGCCAGTAATCAACCCCAAAACAAAAGGGGGGAAGCCCAGGCCATCGCAAACGACATCAACAGTAAATCATGCAGGGATCAGCATAGCACTTTAAGAGCCATGCCGAAGTTCCCAAATGGTTCGCTGCGCAAAAAACAAGCCAAGCATGAACACGATCCATGTCAGCATCCACACGAGAAATGACCCGCCCAAACCGAGCCACAAGAAACTCACCCGGCTTGGGCGGGATATCCATGTTGCATGGACGACAAGGACAAGACCAAGCAATATGGTCAAAACTGCCAACGTCATGACAACCAGGCCAAATACAAGTGTCAGCAACATCAAGATTTTGGGCACTGTGCAACGCAGCAGGAGAAAAAGAACCCCCTGTCGCCAAAGCACGCGCCTCTGGCCCAGAAGCCGCAAACTTCCGAATACCATCACAATCAATTCTGTGAAACAAACCGTTTTCAAAGCAATCAAGATTATTGTCCCGCCGAGTGGATTGACAATGTTTGTTGAGACACCAAGCGCGCCAAGCAGTACGGACCACATGTTGACGAGCACCGGCATTATCAACGACAGTAAAATCAAGAACAGAACGCGACAAAGCATGACTCCATTTCCAGTCAGCGTCACAGATCCATCCATGAGAACAAAGCCAATCATTCAACGCGCGAGCAGGCGTTCCAGACACAGAAGACCAAGTCAAAGCCCTCCTGCGCTGAACACGAGACAGAATTCCAACCAACTGAGTAGCAAACAACACGTCCAAGTGAAGCCCACCACCGAAAAGAGCAGCCCGAAGCCAGACAGAGGCACTTCGCAACCGCCGACTACCCATGTGCACACACGAAAAAAGGGCTTTGCACAGCGTCAAAGGAGGAGCCCTAGCAATCCACCCATAAGCCACTTTAGAGACAGCAAAGCTCCGACAGGCACGCATGTAAGGTTCAAACGGCATACCGATACAAGCAAGCAAAGTCAAAACCCGCTTGCACGCATTCACACGTTCCAACTCCTTGGGCATCAAGCCACGACAAGCAACCATGCTACAAGAACCAAGCAATTCAGTATTAGTGGCAACGTAGTCCGGCCAATGTTTCCGAAGAGTGGCTCTTCGTGCCGGCGTGGAAGCAACCACCACAGTTTTTTGTTGATTTTCAAGCAAGCCAGCCGAAAAAGACCAAGCGCACCAAGCATGGAAGCATTCCATGAGAGCCCAAACCCGCGGGCCAACAAAAGCACGGTCATCAACAAAGACGCGAGACAAAATTGAACCACGACTGTTGCAAACACTTTCAACAGACGCCCAACCGCCCCAAGTCCACAAAGCCATCACCAACGGGCCCAACGGATCCCCTTGAGGCATGGCAGGCGCCACAGGGGTGCGGGTGACATGAGTGTGAACCCCAAAAGAAACCCAACGTTCCTGATGAAGCCAAACCTTGGTAGCAACCTCAACAAAGCTGGGATCCCAGCCCACATGAATCATGGGGGCTTTGGTGACGCTGGGATCAAGCAAATCGTAAGCTTTGGAATAATCCAAGCTAGCAAGGTAACCCCCAGCCATCAAATTATCCAAAAGATCAACAACGACCTCCCCAGTAGACACAGCATGAGCAACAGCAAAATGTCGCGGCACATGTTGCCGCATCCACTCACGCAAACAGCCTTTGGCCCAAGCGCTAGCCC